ATCTGACGGCAGTGGGGAAGGGAAAGGTAGGAGGATGGGGTGGGAGGGTGGAGAGCCTCTTCTCTCCACAGGACCCAAGCCTGCATCATCTGCCCCATCCAGATTCTCTAGTGGGAGTGCTTGTGACTGTGGCCCACACAGGTGGGTGAGCAGTGATGAGTGGGGTCATGGTGACATGGAAACCATCCTGAGGACTCAGGCAGGGTTGGAAAATGAGTTTCCTGAAATCACCTCCACCTCACCTAATGCATCTTGGATACAAGTCTTCCTTCCTTTCCCTCTTCTAGATTTGATGCTCCGTGAGTCCAACAGCCCTGAGTCTTGTCTGGAGAAAGAGAAGGACTCAGAGGGAGGAGAAAGGAGGAGAAAGAAGAGAAGAAAGCAAAGCTTCAAATACTGGTTTAAAGAAGTTCTTGTTACTTTTTCCTTGGGATTCCTGAAGGGATGTGGTTGGCATAGATTCGGGGTGTCTTGTGAACCATCCAGCCCCAGGTTGCACTGTCTGGCCCCACCCTGAGGAGCTCCAGGAAGGAAGGCTTTGCTTCCTCATAGTTGGACTTTCTCAGCCCTTCAGAAATTCCTTTTTGATCACAGTCTCAATTTGTGCTGCGTTTCTTTGGTTCTTCATGTAATTTTGGGGAACCCTTAGTTGTTTTTAACACTCCTTCCTCCTTTGTGGCAACTTAAGATGTCACCCATTTTCTTTTTTTTTTTTTTTTTTTTTTTTTTTTTTTTTTTTTGTTTGTTTTTTTTTTTGAGACAGGGGTTCTCTGTGGCTTTGGAGCCTGTCCTGGAACTAGTTCTTAGACCAGGCTGGTCTCAAACTCACAGAGATCCGCCTGCCTCTGCCTCACGAGTGCTGGGATTAAAGGCATGTGCCACCATTGGCAGGCTTTGTTGATTTTTTTTTGTTTTGTTTTGTTTTTGGGTTTGATGTCACCCATTTTCTTAGTATCACTTCGAAACATTTATTTTCTACTTCTCTTTTAGTTTACCTCTTTACAAAATTATTATTACACCTACTTACTTTGGGGGTGGGAATGCAGGCCAGAGAATAATTTGAGGGAGTTGGTTCTCTCTTTTACCTTGTGGGCCCTTCCAGTTGAACTGGAGTTGTCAGGTTTGGAGCCACTGAGCCATCTCATAGTCTCTAATTTACCCACCCCAGGCTAATTTCTTCTTATGCATCCAATCTTTGCATTGATTGGTACTAAACAAGATGGGAAGGCGACTACACATTTCCTCTGTCCTGATACAGATTAAACTACATCAGGCTGCAATCAAACCTCTACTAAAATGAGAGTATGTGTGTGTAGGTGTGCACACATGTGTGTGTAAATGCATGCCAGGCTAGGGGGTCAGTCTCAGGCATCATTCTTCAGGTGCCATCCATCTTGGTTTTTGAGATAGAACTGAAGCTTGTCCACTTAATAGGCTAGGTAATAAGCCCCAAGGATGCACTTATTTTCATGTCCTCAGTGCTGGGATTATAAGTGTTCCCCCTCACAGGAACCTAAAACTCACCATTCAGCTTTTGTATGTGTGTTCTAGAGATTGAACTCAGTTCCTCATGTTTGCATGGGAATCACATGATTAGGGGCCTCCTCAGTTTTTTGGGAAGAGTTTTGTGATTCAATTTGCCTTTTTCTGTTCTTTCCCTATTGAAGGACTCAACTTTGCCTAGACCCAAGCCAGCTAAAATACAGACCAGAAAAACCAAGTCCAGAGGTAAGGAAGGCAGCTGGAAAGGGGCAAGTCCTAAAGGGAGGGAGGGCAGAGGCAGAGTGTTTTCCGGTAGCTGTGCTGGACTGAATCTCATCTCCAGGACCTGAGAGAACAGGCTGGGCTGATGCCAGGGAGAAAGTCATAGCTCCTCATTCTTGTTTTCAAAGTCTTAGGCTAAAAGTGTAGGGCTCAGCTTGGTCACCAAGGCTGATTCTGAGGATAACCATAGTGGGGAGAAGACCCAGGGACAGCATGTCAAGGTGGCTGGACTTGGAGGCTACTGAGGGAACTGCTAGACAGAGAATGAGCCAGAGATGTAGAACAAGGCAGAAGCCAAATGTGTGGTCATCATCTGCCATGCCAAGCCATCAACAAATTTTCTTCATGCTTATGGCTGGGGCTTATACAGGCCCAGCAGGAGGACAAGATGGGACTTCAAAAGAGAAGACTGTGAAGGGAGTCTCTGGGCAGCGAGACCACAGTCCCTCCTGGGCGCGCTTTGGGAGGGGAGAGAAGAACAGGGGAATTCAGAGCTGCACCATCCAGGTAGGGCTCAGAGACATGAAGGCCAGGGAGAGGGAAGTCCTTGTCTGCATCTCCCCTCCCTGGGTCATTTCTGATCAATTCTTCAACAATTCTTGCTTTTCTGTTGTATAAGAGGATTATGAAGCTGAGGCTAGCCCATGTTACACATGAGTTCTAGGCTATAGAGTGGGACCCTTTTTCAAAAACACCAAAGGGGGAGTGGGGAAGAACATATGAAATTCTGAGTGAAGGGCCATATCTCAGATTGAACATAGAACATACTTTATAAACTTAATTGTGCCCAGTTCTAGTATGGAAACCCAGCACTCAAGAGGCAGAGGCAGGCAGCTCTCTGAATTCATTCCGTGATGTTCCTACTAAGTCTTTCAACTGTTCCAAGACTAGATACTTGGCATTTTACACTCACCTGTTTTGTCTGTGTGTGCATGGTGCATGCCATGGTGCAGAAGTAGAGGCCAGAAGATAACATTAGGGAGTCAGTTCTCTCCTTCTACCACGTGGGTTTCCCACAGAACCATCTCACCAACTTGTTTTGTTTTTGAGACAGTCTCACTGTGTAACCATAGCTGACCAGAAACTTACTCTGTAGACCAGACTGGCCTCAAATTCACAGAAGTCACCTGCCTTTACCTCCCAAGTGCTGATACTAAAGGTGTGGGTCACCTGATTTTTTAAACGTAATATTGTTAATTCTTTTGAGAATTTTTTCTTTCTCTTTTTTTTGGGGGTGGGGTGGGGTTTGAGACAGGGTTTCTCTGTGTCACCCTACCTTTCCTAGAACTCACTTGAGTCTTCTTCTGCCCCTCACCCCATCAGGCCCCATTAGCTAGTCTTGGGAGTGGGGCCTGGCCTGGAGTGTAGTTGGCTGACCAAGGGATCAGTCATGTCATTAAAGACAACTGACGTTCCTTCTCTAATCAGATACTAAGCTAAATCAAGCAGGGATTGCTCTTCCAGAGGACTCAGGTTCAGTTTCTGGCACCTACATGATTGCCCACAACCATCCATGACTCTTCTTCTGACCCCTTTGTACTGCATATATGTGATGCGTGTACATGCAGGGAAAAGGAAAACACCCATACACATAAAATAAAATTAAATCTTTTCAAAAACAATGCCGGTAGCTTCACAGCTACTAGTAAGATTTCATGTCCTTTACATACTGCAATGTTATATGGCTTAAGCTTGCACAGATCTTATGCCTGCTGTCAAAATCACTGTGAGTTCATATGGGCAATTGCCCAATTGTGTTCAGAAAATACTGTTCCAACTACCTCTGGCTCTTATACAATCTTTTGCCCTGCCCTAGTCTTTCTCAAAGATCCTGAGACTTTAAGAGTGATAGGTATGTGTTCCATCTCATAGAATGGGCCTTAGGTTTTTGACATTTTATTTATTTATTTTTAATATGTACTTAAGGTTTTTATGTGTATGGGTGTTTTAGTGCATATATATTTGTGCACCACATACATACTTGGTGCCAGGAGATGATGTCATAGCCTCTGGAACTGGAGTTATAGGTGGTTGGGAGCCACTATGTGAGAAAGGGAATTGAGGCCCCGCCTTCTACAAGACCAGCAAGTTGTTTTAACTACTGAGCCAACGTTCCAGCTTCTTGACATTTCAAATTCAAATTCACTAATGCTCAGAAGGTTTCAGATTTGTTCAAGACCCATGTTGGATACCCAGCTGACACAGGCTAGAGTCTACGTGTGACCTGAGAGCCTGTATTCTGCATTCAGATGGCGATTATCTTTTCAGATGCATTAAACATAAGAATTCAGAAATCTGGCTGTAAAACTCCAGATAGGTGACTTAAAGGGACTCTCAACTTTGTTCCTTGTTCTCTTTAGGCCCTAAAAAGAAATTTAAGGCTCCTGAAAGCAAGGCCTCAGCTACCACCGTACCTGAGCAGAAAGAAACTAAAATTGTGTCTCAGCACCCTACCCCACCAGCTGGCTATGGGGCTCATCCATTGGGAAAGGAAGGTCCTGGACCTCAGGAGCTCCTGACACAGGAGGCAGTAATCTTCCCCCTGAAGATGATGGTTCCAGTGACCTGGACTTGGAGGAACTCATGGAAGACATTGGAGAGCCAGAGGAGAGAGGGAGTCCCAGCAGAGGGACGGTCCAGAGGGCTTCCTGGCAGCCCTCTTTGAGGAGTAGTGTGCTCTGGCTTTCCCTACTATTGTCTGCCTGTCAGCATTTGAGCAGCTGTTAAATGTCAGGGTTGTTGACCTGTGTATGTGGTCCAAACCAGAGCTGTGCAGGCTGGGTTAATAAAGCAGGTCTTGGGGCTACTGCTGGGGTGTGCGTCCTTTCCTGTCACTAGGGCAAACTACCCACTGTGGAGGGTATGGAGGCTGGGGACAGCAGCGAGGCCCAGACCTGGGGGAACCTCCAGGAAAGCTTGTCTGTGAGTCTGGCTCTGATACTCCCTGGGTGTGACATGGCCTTAGGAAAGCATTCAAACCCTCTGGGTGTTTAGTTCCCTGTCTCACACCATCTATCTAGGGTTGATGCTCATGCTCAGTGTGGTGGTACATGGGAACCAGTCACAGTGTGTGCTGGTTATCACACTCACAGGTGTGGGGGCACATCCTGTGGACTGGCTGCCAGCATTTGGGGCATCACCTGCCTTGCACACCTAAAAAAAAAATGATAGAGGAGGAGTCCTTGAGGGACAGAAGTTAAAGGTCACACCAGTGTCCCTTAATTAGATTCATTTAGGCAAATTCTGTGTATCTTTTTATTCCTGTGAGAAAGGCCAAGGAAGTTAGAAAAGGGAACTGGGAGTGTCTCCGTTTCTCTGAGTTCCAGCTCCCTGACGTGTGAATTTCTGTCTCTGCCCGTGGATATCTGTGACCCTTGAGCTTCTGTCTCTGGCTGTGGAAGCTGGGCGTCTTGCTACTAGAAGCAAAGGTGGCTCTGAGATGGCCACCCTGACCCACTCATTTGGTCTTTACGATGGAGTACACAGTCTCTTCCTGGGGGTTCCCGGGGACAGGAGGGCAGGGTGGGGTTGCTGGGGAGGCCGGGCTTGAGAGGGCAATGGAGGCATACACGATGTTGTCCTGGGGGAAGACAAGAGGTCAGAGGGCAGCGGGAAACTGTGGCTGCCATAAAGCAGCAGCTGCGGCCTGAGCATCTGTCCCACCCACACCCCCGGCCTCCACCCTTCTGCCTCCTTTAGCATCCCCTTCAGGCCTGATCTGCATTGTTTACCTTGGGGTTCTCTTTGGGGTCCTTATATTGCCCTAGAGAAAAAAGAAACGGGAGCGTTGGAATCTATCCCTGTGACAGGAAGGGGGACCGATGGCTGGGAGTTCCAACAGTGAGGTGGGGACCTTGGTTGCAGGAGAGGGACATTGGTTCCAGGAGAGGGACGGGGTGAAGGAGGGAAAGATGAAAATGCTGAGGGATGCTCATGGAAACATGGGGTCTTGGGAGAGGAAGTCACAGCCAAATGTGGAAACAGGAAGCTGGCAGAATTTACCTTCAGGTTCAACATTCTGGTGTTTCTCAGTGTTCTCAAGGGAGTTCCCTGCATAAGACAAGATGGGCCACATATTAGAGTCTGGACAAGAGGGAATCGAGCCATTAGGTGCTGGGCTGGAGAGATGGCTCCATTAGTACAGTTCCTGACTTCAGACCCAGCACCCACTTAAAGATGGATGCAGGAGAAGCAGAGACAGGCAGGTAAGTCTCTGGAGTTCACTGACCAGCCTAGGAACAGATGAGCTCTTGATTCAGTGAAAGACCCTGTCTCAAGAGATACAGTGGAGGGCTGGAGAGAGGGTGCAGTTGGCAAAGTACCCGCTTCACAAACATGAAGACCACAATTCAGATGCCCAGTGTCACAGGGACAAGGAGGAAGCAGTCAGGATGAGTCAGGGGTGGGCGATGCGAAGAGCCCTCTGCCTGGTTCTCCTTTAGTTTTTAATGCTATTTGAAGGGGCTGGAGAGAGGGAGCAGTGGTTAAGAGCACTGGCTGCTCTTCAGGGGACCCGGATGGTGCTCACCTGGCTGGGGTTTCAGCGTTAGTCCTCTGGCCTGTGGGGAAGAGACAGTGTCATTGTGACATCCATGGTGATCTTCTCTTAGCTGTCCTCCTTGTTCAGACCATCTTCAGTGGACAGGGGAAGGAAGAAACTGCCCCAGGCTCTCAGAGAAGAGCCTGGAAGAGCCTGGAACTACCTCTGCTGGGCTGTGGTCCTACCCAGCAACCCCTCCCCCCAAATCTCTGCCAGGTCCAAGCTCCACCCCTGTGTCCTTTGCTCCCTTCTCCTTACCTTGAGTTCCCCTCACCCCATACCTGCTTGGTCTACTATACATTCACCTCCTTCCTTTTCCGACGCTAGAAACTGCCTTCCCTGGATTATATTTAATCTACTAATCTCATTTTCATAGTGCATACTATGCTGTTTAAGTGACTACAGCTTTTTTTCTTTTTTATTGCTATTACTTTATTACAAGGTAGGGGATGTGCCACAGTTTGTGTGAGGATCAGAAGGCAAATAGCAGGAGTCTGGTTCCCTCCACCATGTGGCCCCAGGCTTGGACACCAACACCTTTTACCCTGTGAGGGGTGATTTAGCTTAAAAAATACCTATTATTTACTTATTTAGCTACTGTAGCTGCTTCTTCTTTCTTTTTAGAAATTTAAAATTATTTGCTCCTGTTTTGTGGAGATGCACATGAGAGCAGATGCCTGTGGATTTAGGACACACCTTCCCATATGCCTGGAGCTGGAGTTACAGGCGGTTGTAAACTGCCTGATGTGGGTGTGGGTGCTGGGAGCAGAATTCAGGTCCTCTGCAAGAGCAGCCAGTGCTCTTAGCTGCTCAGCCACCACTCCAGCCTCCTATTGCAACTTTAACACATCTGGGTCAGGCGGTGGGAGTGCTTCATTATTGACCATTTTGTTGTTTTTGTTGCTCTTACTGTTTCATCTCGTTTTGTCTTTGAGAATGAATGCATGTGGATCGGAGAAGATGATTTTTTTTTTTCTGCAAAACAGCCATTGTCATTTAGGTGGGAATTATATTGGGTTCACTAGTCTTGAGCGTAGACATCTTTTTTGTTTCTTTGTTTTTAGTTTTTCACGACAGGTTTTCTCTGTAGTTTTGGCTGCTAACCTGGAACTAGCTCAGTAGATCAGGCTGGCCACGAACTCACAGAGATCCAGCTGCCTCTGCCTCCCGAGTGCTGGGACTAAAGGCGAGTGCCACCACTAGTAGGCTTGATATCTTTTTTTTTTTAACTTCATTTATTTTATTGTATGAATGTTTGCCTTCATGTACGCCTGTTTGCCACATGTGTCCCTGGTCCCTGTGGCAGTCAGAGTGGGCATCAGATCCCCTGGCACAGGGGTTGCAGGAGCCTGTGAGTCAGTGTGGTGCTGGGATGAAACCCTGGTGCTCTGTCTAGCAGCCATCACCCCAGCCTCTAATACTCACATGTTAACTGACTTTGCCATGAATGGATGAGACGTTTCCCACTCACCTGCTCCCTCTTCCCTTTGACAAGGTTAATTAATCACTGTGTTTTGAAAAACAAGTCATTCGGCTCCTTTTTCCCTAAGTGTTTTCCGTTACAGTTTAGTTTTAAAGATTTACCTTTCATTGTGTGTATGTGTGTGTGATTGTGTTTGCCATCTCTGTTATGATGTCCAAGGAGGCAGAAGAGAGCACAGGATGCCTGCCGGCAGACTTACAGCAGGGTGTGAGCTGCTCTTTGTGGGTGCTGGGAGCTAAACTTGGGTCCTCAGCAAGAGAAGCAAGTGTTTAACTCCTGAACAATCTCTCTATGTTTTCTCTTTCTACTTACAAATACAGGATATGGGTGTACTTTTTTTAGTCAGCTCTATCAGATCCACACAGCACTTCAACTATATTCCCCACCGCTGTGGTGGTTTGAATGAAGAATCTTCACCACAGGCTCACCTACTTGACCTGTGGAGATAGGGGGTTATGGAGCATTTAGGAGGTGCAGTCTTCTGGAGGAGCGTGTGTCCCTGGCATGTGTTTGAGAACTTACTGCCCCTCCTCATCTGCAGTTTTCTCTGTGTTTTCTGCATGTGGCTGTAGCTGTGACTGCTCAGTGTCCTCCAGCCTTCCCGCCATTATTAACCTTCCTTCAGGAACACAGGCCAAAAGGACCTCTGTCTTCCACAAGTGACTTTTGATCTCGATGTTTTATCAGCAGTGGAAGAGTAACCACCATTACAACCCTCACACAGACTTCCTCCTTCTGTCCCTACATGGCTTGGTGGTTTCCTACCAGTTTTTGCAACAAATGTGACTTGTTCCTGTTCCCTGGTCCATGCATTTGTGTAATCACTAAGCCTTTGCTTGATTCAGGTCTTCTCCAACCTAGGATGACTTTGAACTGCTGATCCTCCAGCCTGCACAGTCCACACTGGAGTTACAGACACTTATTGCCACACCGGGCTTATTACAAAGTCTGAAAGCTTTGGCCTCAAAATTTCCCTGACTCTGGCCAGTCATTCCCATGTGCAGCCCTACTATGGTACACTGACACAGCCTGGCCATCTCCAGTCTGTTCTCTACACCCTAAGTCTGTGATGTTAGCATCCATCTGCCGCTTAGGACCACAGCCACAAGCTTTACCTCACACAGATACCCTGCTGGGACGCTGTGGCTCCCCAGCTACTTCCATCCAGGCCCAGGGATTCTCTCTCCAATGGCATTAGTGTTCCTTGCCTCCTTCCAGGTTCAGGCCTGTGCACTGTGAAACCAGCCCTATCCTCACCCCATGCCTATTGCCCTCTGTAGAGCCCCTGCCATGTTGTTAGCTACCTTTCTGTCTGTCCATGGCATTGATAAGTCTCAGGAAACCCTTCCTATCCAGTAACCTGTCTCAGTGACCTTCTTGAAGCCCTACTCGACCTTTCACACTCACTGATGTCTTCATAAGACAGAATCAGAGGCTGTACCCTGAAAGACAGGGTTCCCTCCATCATCTCCTGCCTCTTCCACCAGCACCACACTCCTCAAGAGTTCCTATGATGGTTTTCCCTTTTCTGGAGGGCCAGAGAGTGTCCCGACACGGCTCCCAGCACTTTCCTGGATATTTTGTGCAAGGGATGGGGGTTGATACAAATTCTCATGCTGTTCAGGTTGGCCTTGAACACTTTATGGTAACTAAGGCTGCCCTTGACCTCCCCACCCAGGTGCACTGACTGAGGTGTGGGCAGACATTGGCTGTCACTGTTTTTACTTTACTAGTATTATGACTATTTATTTACCATGTGAGTGAGTGTGCACATGCCAGAGCATGCATGAGTCAGTTCTTCTCTTCATCCATGTGGCCCGACATCTCCAGTGTCCTGACCTCCTGGGCCATCTCACTGCCTCTGGCTGTCATTATTTACTCTTTGACTTCCTGTGTTAATTTTCCTCTGAGTGATCTTCTGACCACCTCCTCTGACCTTGTCTGTCACCACCACAGCACTCTCTGAAATGAACACTCAGCCCTTGGGAGTACTCCCCCATCACCTTGTAGCTACTGGGAAACAGAAATTTTATCTTCTTATGATCCTCCAATTTCAAGCCAGGCTTTGGGAAATGGAGCCATACAGCTGAGTAGAGGCAACTTCCGGTCCCTTCTGCTCTCCCGTCCCTGGCTTTCTGTTGGGCAGGCCCTTTCTTCTCTGTAAACCAAAGGGGTGGACTGATGACAAATGACTAAGCCAACAGAGAAGAGCTGAGTCATGACTGGACTGTGGTTGCCAAACTTTTACCCTGCAGAAGCCTCACTTGAGGAACTCCCTTAAAGCAGAATCCGGTGGAGATAACATTGCACACCTGCAAGCAACCACACTGAAACCATAGCAACAAAAGACCCAGCTTCTCTAAGCAGAAGCCTCAGAGCCTGACTTCAGAGTCAAAGGAGGCCATCAGGGATCTGCCCTGGGGAGGCCAAACACCATCCTTAGTTATTGGTCCTCAAAAGCTGTCCACCTTGTTTAGTTTTTGTTTTTAAAGACAGAGTCTCTCATTGGGACAAGAAGCTCACCATTTAGTTTAGGATGGCTAGCCATCCATCCTTGGGGATCACCCTGTCTCTACCTCCTCAGCACTGTGGTTACATAGATTATGGTGATGGGACCTCAAGCTTGGGTGACAAGCACTTACTGACTGAGCCATCTCCTGAGCCCTAGGCTGTGCACTGTGAACACCACCTTTGATGAGTCTGGTGCAGACAGCCTGGGGAAACACTCAGGAAGTGTGGTGGGTAAAAGGTAAGTTTGGACCACTTACCTTTCCTTCTCTTCCACCTGATGAACACTGTCCATCCCAAAACTCCAGCCAGCACTACAGCAGTGGCCACTGCCAACCCAACTGTGGCTCCCAGGTCCATGGTCTGATTGGTCCCGTTCATCTTGCCCTCTGTGGTCGTGAGGGCATTTGTGGTGAGTGCGGAAGTTGCAGTGGTGGGGTTTGGAGAGGTGGTCTTGGGGGCTGGGAATAGATAAAATGGTCAGCATGAAATTCCCTGGCAGGAATGAAGATGTTGTGAAGTTGCCCTGCAGCACTCTTTGCCCATCAGACTACTGAAGCAAAGCACTCCAAGGACCTGGAGTCACCCAAGGAGTCTCATGCTGGCAGAAGGAAAAGGCTGAAGCCTGGAGCCAGCCAGAGAAAGAACAGGTCTCCCAGAAAGAGAGTTCACACAGTTCTGACAACTCTTCAGATCAACTTTCAGGGGAGCCTAGAAACAATGATGGCTCACTGTGGGCGGGGCCACATAGTAACTGGGGCTGCTTAGCTATGCATATCAATTGTCTTCTACTTAGGCCTAAACCTCATGTCAGGACATGTCAAAACCCCAAATATAGAAGTGTGGGTGTTGTCACTGGGCTCTTTGTTTGTGTTCCCAATCTGGCCATGATGAATAAACCCCTGTCCTGTGTTCTTCACTGTGACTATCTTTTTCTTTGTCCTGTTCAGGACATATGACCAAGTCTGGCTTGTTAGAGGTGCCTGGGCCAAAACTTTGATTCTACACTGAACTAACCAACAGTTGGTTCTTCTTGGATTGGGGGGATGGATGGGTGGATGGACATGGATATCTTGTCTCTTTTGGAGGATGCAGGATGGGGAACAGCTTTTAGAAGCTCACACAGGAAGAAGGGAAGAGATGCTGAGGCTGAGAGTCAGGTGAGCAATGAGAAGTCTCTGTTTCTTGTTAGGAATGTTCTCAGACCCTCATGTCATTCCTTACAAAGAGCAATCTCTAAGTCATACAGATCAAAAACAGTCCATTTCTAGTAACAGTTCTCATTAGAACACAAGTACCTGCGGGGTGGACAATGCTGCTCCCAAAGACACGAGTTTTTGCACGAAATTCTTGTTGCCAGGCTCAGCTTGTGTGCCTATCTACAGATACATGTGTACTTGAGTACACACACACACACACACACACACACACACACACACACACACACGGATAGAGATGTGCCCCTGAATATGCATGTGCAGGCCAGAAGATACTTCTGGTGCCCTCTTGCAACAATCTCCACCTATTCCTCAGACACAGCATCTCTCTGTGAAATTGGGTCTCAAGTATCAGCTAGGCTGAAAGCCAAGAAACTCAGCATGCTATTGTATAGACGAATTGAAAAACCAGGTCTGGGGTTGCTCCAGGTGCTGGGAATATATGTTATGGCTGTTAGGGTGATATTTTGGGACACCAAACAGTGTGAGTGGGGGTTTCTCTGACTCTTTTGCCTGGCTTTGGGACTCTTTTCCTTCTATTGGGTTGCCTTGTCCACCCTATCATGATAGGAGGGCATTTGCCTTGTCTTGATGTATCTTGTTTTAGCCGGTTTGATGTTATCTCTGGGAGGCCTGCTCCTTTCTGAAGAGGAAACAGAGGGAGAATGGGACTGGGAAGGGGGGAGATGTGGGGGAAGGAAGGAATGAAGGGAGGGGAAATTGGGGTTGAGATGTATACTATGGGAGAAGAATCTATTTTCATTAGAAAAGAGAGACACAAAGAGAGAGACAGATAAAACTGAAAGGAAAGTATTATTTAATTTGGTTACATATATTAGATTATGTAAAAAAAAAAAATAAACCCAGCATAGGTTTGTTTTTCAATATTGTTGCAAATATTTCTTCCTTGTGATTTCTTTGCACTAAATGTGGAGATTTTGGTTGGGTAAACACATTGTTTTGGGGTCTGTGAATGTAGTTCAGTGGGAGAGTGCTTGCCTAGGGTGCAGAAACCCTGAGTCCCTCTCAAGCACTGTTCACAGGAGTGAAGACACACCCTTGTGATCCCAGTTCTTAGGAAGTGGAGGCAGGAGGATCAGGAGTTCAAGGTCATCTTCAGTTACACAGCAAGTTTGAGGACAACCTGAGCTACATGAGAGTATCTTAAAAAAATGGAAAGAAAGAAAAATGTCTTTATATCATTAATTTTAATATTTAAAAAATTGACAGCAATGTTCAGTTAATGAATTAATTTTAAAAATGCTGATGGAAGTCTCGTACTAGAGTTGAGGTGTAACTCAATGGCAGAACCCTTGTAGAGGCCTTGGGGACCATCTTAAGTCCTGCTAAAAGTAGAAAAGCATGGTGTGTTTGATTGAAGCAGAGGAAGAAATTGGTGCCTGAAATTGATCTTTCCACCAAGAAACTAATATGTTATGGCAAAGGCTGGGAGAAATTAGGAAAGGAGGAAGAGCAAGGAGGCAGGGAAGAGCAGACATGTCAGAAAAATCATTTAGAGAAAGCTGTAGGAGGGGTTGGAACTTCAGACATGAGGCTGCCTGGCCAGTTCTGCCTGTGGACTTTATCCTGAACCAGCACAGGGCTTAAGAGGAGGAGTGGTTTGCCAGGGGAAGGCAGGGGGACCTAACCTGGAAGGGACAAACCCACCTGTCCCTGGCACTGCTGAGATTGGCAATGTATTTAATGATAATTAATTAATATCTGACTCTTAATTTTATATCTTATTTTCTAAAAAATTATTTTTATTAAATTTTTGTACACACACCATGGTGCTTGTGTGTGTGTGTGTGTGTGTGTGTGTGTGTGTGTGTGGCCAGAGGCTAACCTTAGGTGTTCCTTCCTCAGATCTCATATATCTTATTTGTAAGACAGGCCATGTGAGCTCCTGTAACCATAACACAATGGGAGATGGAGGCAAGAGGATCAGTAGGACTTCCCCAGTCCAACAGCCTACACCAAAACGGTGAAACCGTGTTCAGTGAGAGACTCCATCTCAAGGGAGGAAGGAGGGTCTGAACTAGAGGAGGGCAGCCAGTATCCACCTCTAGCCTACTCAAGTACAAAAACGGGGTATATGTAAACATGCACACACACGCATGCACACAGTTACACCATATATACACATTCCACAAAGTCAAGACAGAAGGGAGGCCAGCAACAGACTGAATTCAGACAGAGGCCATGTGTCTGTTTCAGAGATGGTTGGAGGTAAAGGGTGCCTTTGAGGCCTGTTCATCACCTGCAGGACCTTGTGCAAAGGTGAATTATGCTCTTTGTATAATGACCATGAGTGTCCAGCAATGGCGACTCATGACCAGGGTAATGCCCACACGGTGACGAGGCTGGGCCTGTGTGCACTCCGTGTGGAAGCTGCAGTTTCATTCCCACGGAGGAGGGAGAATGACCAGACGACATGATCACGGTGAGAACATGGGGGCCTGTGTGGAAAGATGGGGGATGCTGAGGACGGCGGGGGGGGGGGGAGAAGAGGAAAATGAGAGGGGAATGAGGAACGGGGGCAGGGGCAGGGAGAGGGCTGTGTCTTAGAGACTGGTGAATTGGGGACCCAGGGTGTGAGGGGTTATACACGGGGACCAGAAGGCACCTGCTGTGGAAGACGGCAGATATGGTATAAAGCCCAGATCTGTGGAGACCCTGACACAGGACCAAGTGAGGCTGCTCCATCCTGTAGTTTCACGTGGGTTTATGGTAAGGGTGGTGGGGTGGGCGGGGCAGTAGTGCAGTTTGGAGAAAGGAGCAGGAGACTGGGCCCCCTGGGAAGAGGAGGCCCAGGAGTGGGGTGGGATCTGAGGGCACCATGAGCGGCAGCGCAGGGAGAGCAGCTAAGGCCGTGGATGACTATGAGGAGAGGAAAGGGGGAAGGTGGCAGGGCTCAGGGGAGGGGACAGAACACAGGAGAGGGGTCAGTGACAGGGATCTGACATGTAAGATCTGTATTAGCTTCTATGGTACAAGGAAGCCAGCATCAACAAAGCCTGACCTGGGATGTGCTCATCATGGGTGATCGTGAGGTTGGTCCCAGGAATCGACTGAAACATCTCATTGCCTTTTGTTGTGTTCAGATAAACTTTGCAGAAGTAAAATGTCTTGTCCTCCTCCTTCAAGTCCAGGATTCTAAGGAGTCCGGATGTCTGAGGCTGTGTCCAGTTCAGGATGAGCCGGTTCTTGAAATGCTTATGTATGAAACCTGAGGAGGAGTTGTAGATGAACTCCCCATGGAAGCCCTTCCATCTCCAGAGAATCCACATATTTGGACCCGTTGTCAATTTCCAGGGGAAGTAGAAGGAGAAGGGGATCTCGATGGAGCCGCCCTGGACACCAGAGAGGCATGCTGGTTGGGTGATCCCAAAAGGTCCTTCTCTGCTGGATGCTGCTGAGATACCTGGGAAGGTTGGGGAGAATATGAAGTCCTTTCAGGGATGGAAGGCACAACCCGGAACGTCCTGAGCCATCTTCCCCAGGCAGGTGTTGCACACGGGGCGGGACTGTTCTACATCCCACAGTCCCCATGGGACAGCCCAGACCAGGAAAGGTTGGCCTTAACCATTCTGAGGATGAGCTCCCTTTTGGGTCACAGAGGACAGCTGGCTCCTCTAGCACACCCCTGTCCACATGAGGGTCCACTCTTCCCAGCCCCGCTGCTCCTTCATAGTTAAGGCAGAGTCCCTGCTGGCCAAGTCCCTCCACTCACCAGCTTGCAGCCATGGTGCTGGCAGCAGCAGAAACAGGGTCCATGTTATGACCTGGTGTCCTCCAGGAATCGAGAGCAGCAGAGCCATCAGGCAGCAGAACAGGCCCTGTGGAGGGACCCTGGGGTGCTCAGGGCTCAGGAGAGAATCAGGGTACAGAGGCTCACAACCTCAGGGCCTCCTCATGAGGAGGACTGAGTGGGGGCAGGACCTCTGCATCTCCACTTCCCTGTGGCCAGCAACTTCCTTTATCATCTGCCTTCTTCTTCCCATGTTGCAGAAGATCCTCCCTTGTGGTCACTGACAGGGAGGCTGTGCCCTTGAGCCCAGGTCCATTTTGACAGGAAGAGATGGAATTGGCCTCACAAAGCCAGGCGCTCCTCTCTTCCTCCCTGACCTCCTGTCTATTCCAGTGTTTTCCATTCCTATGTGACCACAGTCACCCTGTTTCCTCAGCTCCAGATTTCCTCCACTCCTGCCCTCCCCTCAGTCTGTTTCTCAGTCTCTCTCTCTCTCTCTCTCTCTCTCTCTCTCTCTCTCTCTCTCATAACCTCATGTAGAGAAGTGCTCAGTTTCTGCTCACTTCAGACACAAGGGGGAAGATGTTGATGCAGAGACAGATAGAGTTCCCAGCTCCAGAAAAGTTCTCGGCCACCCCTGTCCCCTCTTTGCCCTGTTCCTGCCTTTCATGGTCTCTTCACGATGTCCAGGAAACCAAGGCCAGTGGACACTCTCTCCCTGGCTGCTCACTGCTCCCGAGTCTATGACTTCCCTGGGCTTCTCGTGATCGTCTCCCTCACCTCCACAGTGACTCCAAATCTACTCCAGTTCCTGAAGGAGCCTCTCTGCCTCCTACCGTCCTTATCACACACTCAGAAGAGGATGCCGAGCATCAGAGGAGCCCTGGCACATGTCACATGACTGGCACATGGGGGGTTCAATGGACATCTCTTCCTTTAAATACTTATAGTCGTTCTCTCCACACAGACTTCCGGCTGCCTGCTGGTGCAGCCTCTGAACTCCCCTCAAAGGCAGGGATCTGCTACTGGGCTCCCCTGAGGCTGATCCCAGAAATTATTTAGTGACTCTTTCTAGTTGTGGCTGTTCTTCTTTGGATGAAGTAGGAAGGGACAGCTCAGAACAACAACGTGTCACTCTTGACATTTCCCCTAGGACATCTCTGACAGTGGCCACAGCTGGCCCATGATTAAGGTGGAGGTGTGGAAAGTGGTGGCAGTTGCTGTGTGGCCTCAGGGCTGGTTCTGTAGGAGGCTCATCCTACTATTCCCAATGATTAGTTTCCCTCAGGTCCCCAAAGGCCAGGAAGACATGATTGTACCAGAGGAGGTGGCATCCTTCTCCTGAGTGACCTGTGCAGACACGACTCTCCATTTCCTTTGATTCCCTGCATGGAGTGCCTTCTCCACGCTTCGCTGGAAGTGGCTATGCAGCCCACCCTCCCTCATTCTCTGCCTTCCTCACAGTCATCATTGTCCTCAGAGCCCTCAGCCTGAGCCAGACACAAACTCTCGTGGCCTCAGGGGCAGTTGCACATGGACACACTTCTTACACTTCTTCATCCATCCACCATGCCCTTGGAGACACCAAAGTCCAGAACCTTTGGGATAACTTTACCAGAGATGGACAGTCAGTCAGGAGAGGGACAGGCCTACTGCACCTCCCAGAAAGCCTCCCCTCTTCTATTGGGTGTGGTCTCGAGTAGCCCAGGCTGGGCTTTGGACTTGTTATGTAGCCAAGGATGACCATGAACTCCTACAGGTCTTCCTCTCTGCCCTCCAGTGTGCTGGGGTGACAGGTGTGCTCCATCCATCGGGCTCTGTGTCTCCTGCTGGAGACAGACCCCGGGGTTCTGTGCATGCCAGGCAGGTAAGCGTTCTAGGAGATGACCCACATTTTGAGCTCCAGTGAGGTCAGAGAGGGGGCCCTCCTGGTCACAAGTGCTCACCTGCAGACTCTCCTGGCTTTGACCTACTGTGTGTGGTCTTTGGGTGAAAGGTCACCTGATTTGTCTGTTACCCAGGATGGGCTGGACCTGATGTTGCCGCCATATGACAGTTGCTGGACCCCAGCACTTTACACAGCAGGCTCTTGTTGGTGCCTCAGGATCCTGGCTGCCCCTTGCTCTCAGACTCACTGCTGCCACCTGCTGGTCCCTTAATCCTAAGTCATGGGCTCTGTTCTAGTTTCAAGTCAAGGACTCAGCTGGATCCCCATAGGGACCCTCTGTGGGATGATTACTGTCCTGGATGCTGCCATCAGTCTCCTGCAGGGACAACCATGTTTCTCCTATAGCAGTGACTGGGCTCTGCCCATGATGCTGTCACAGGGGAGGGGCACTTTCTGTGGAGGAGCAGCCTGGGCTGTGCTGTGCACACATGGGTCTTGTATACATGTGACCATGGAGGGTGACAGGCTGCAGGGTTAGAACCTGCTGCTGCTCAGCTGTAGCAGGAGTGTGCCCTGTCCCCACAGAATACAGAAGTAGGGTAATTTTAAAAATTGAAAGCTAGGGAGGGTAGGCGTGGTGCTGTATGCCTTTAATTCTAGTTTTGGGAGGTAGAGTCAGAGGCAAGTGGGTCTCTGTGAGTCTGAGTACAGCCTGATCTACATATCCAGTGATTAGCCTGCAATGGCTACATTGTCCATGTGCACTGAAAACCCCCAAACAAACAAACAAAAAACAAATCCTGAAATCAAAACAAACAAAAAACCCAGGGTGATTTGTGTTCTGAGTTGTAATGCCTGAGTTTGTCTGATGGCCTCCACGAGGATAGGGCACACTTCCACATACATGCACCTGAATGCAAACACACACACATATCATGCAAAGAGATTTGCATAGCTGATGTGCCAGCACATGCTTACCCAGTCCTCCTCCTGAGTAGACATGGCCTCCTAGGAGAGGCACTGTGACTCTTCAGACTCCTGTTCCTGACAGTGTCCCCAGCAGTCAGACTCTGACTTTATACCCAGCTGTGTTTTCCCATGACAGTAGTGGCAAAGAGCAGGGTCAACCCTTCCTATTTCTGTCTGAATCAACCAATTCCAGAAACTTCCATCAAATAACCTGCAGTAGAGGCCCTGTGGGCCCTGACTCAGCAGATACTCCCTTTGATGAAAATGTCTACTTGGAGGGACTGGTCCCTACTCCAAATGACTTGACAGGTTTTGATGATCCCTCCTGGAAGGCATCACCCTCCCTGTGGAGTGGATGGGGAATGGGATGGGAGGGGGGTGAGGGAACTGGGATCGATATGTAAAATAAGAAAAAAATATATATATATATATGTATGTATTATGTATGTATGTATATAAAAACAAATGCCAAAGTTGAAATTAACAGTGAAATTTGAGCCCCACTATAACATGTGGCTTTAAGGGGTTCAAGATCGCGTAGATAGAAGTGGATGTAGATGTGGTTGTAAGAGCAAGAATTTGAATCCTCATTGGGGTGTGAAGATATAACTGAGTTGTTTCCATCTGGCGATGAAGTGTAAACAGGGAAGGTGCTCCTGCTCTTGGGAGAGGTGGGAATGTGGTTTCTTGAAACCACAGTCTACTCATGATGAAGAAACTGGGTTCAGTGAGCCGTGGGTTGCTTGAGAGGATTTATTGTTTTATGTGATGGCTTTAACCACCAGTTAAGCAAACACACAAGCCATAAGATTATTATTTTAAGACATTGCCATAAACACCCTCACTCAAAAATCATTCTCTGTAGACACTGAAGCAAGAATAATACCAATAAAAATATAACACTTACTGAAGCTGGAAAACTTTAGCTAATAATGTATTTTAGTCAGTATATTCACACTGTTTTAGATACAATGTTCCTACATAAAAGAAGATTGTGATGTGCAGGAAGCATAAATTTCATGTGTACTTGGAAGACAAAAATGAATGTGATTTGCTTTATTGAGATACACATTTTTAACATAGTATTATAGATATTGCAATGTGTTGAACTATGCCTGTTGTAGATAAAAATGTCTGTAATAGTTCTAAAATATGTGTTATATGCAAGTTTTAAAAACCATATAATGGAGCAATAAAGCAAAAATCATGGTACCATCGTTCTACCTATCCCATAACACCACCTACTCTCCCACTGCTTGAAATTTTTTCTCTTTTGACAACATAAACCCCAGATTAACCCATGCAGATTGGACCAAGCAGAAAGTGGAGGGAGATGCTAGAGTCAGGGTGTTAGAATCGAGGCCTGTGGTGTAGACAGGACCCTCAGGCTGCAACTGCAGTTTTACAATATCACAATTGTCCCAGCTCCATTTGATCCCATCTGTCTCCCAAGGATGACACCACCATCTTCATCTCCTTCATGTGGTGCCCAACCACAGCATGAGCACTCCCTGTACCCCTGCCTGGGGGAGCCCCAAGAAGAGGCTCTGCAGTGTGTCCTAAAGGCCCAGTGGGTGGGTCTGGGGGACCAGCTCAGTCTTCTGGTGCTCAGGTATGAAGTGTCTCAGCCTGTGCAGATACAAAGGTCAGAGGAAGAAATTCACACATCATTGAGTGTGAGGTCACAGAAATGGAGAAACTCAATTTCCTCTTCAACATTATATATATTGTTTTAAAGAAAATATTCAAAGTCGCAAAGTTTGCATACGTGTATCTAATGAGAAAACTCTGGGCATCTTCAAGTTCTCTGCCTCCAACCAAAGTGAAGTAACACATGAGCAGCCTCTATGGCCTCTCTGTAGTGTTTGGAGCTTTGGTGAGCTTCGCTGTTTGTTTGGTTTTAAGACAGGTTTTCCTGAAGCTCAGGTTGGCCTCAAATTCAATATGTACTAATGATAGTCTCTAATTCAAGGTCTTGCTCCTGTCAATCATTGGGATTACAGGCATATGCCACAAAGCCTGGGTTTCTCTAGTACTTCTTTAAACTGACTAGCTGAGTCCAGGGGACACAAATCACAAACAGTGGCAGCCATGCCTGAAGTGAGGTGTGCTGTGATGTGGGAATACAGTGTTCCTTCACCCTGAGGTGATCTGATGTAAAAGCTGAGATTGTGGGTTCTGTGTGAGTCTTTGCTGTGGGCCCCTTTGTTGTTCCCCCCTTTTGAACAATGGAAACTGACACGACACATCACATGACCATCGAGTGCCATCCATAATGTCCCATTTCCGTGACAAGCTGTCTGGACGGAGGAGCTGATGAAGGAACCCTGCTTTAGATGATACTAAGGAGTAGGTTTTTCTGCCCGCCATGTCTGGTCCCGCAGCCACACCTGCCCCAATTAATGCACAGAGACTCTGTATTAGATATAATGCTGTTGGCCAGTTACATGTTTCTTATTGGCTAGCTCTGTCATTTCTGTTAATCTAATATTTCCACGTGCTCTTACCGGAGAGCCGGCTGGCATCCAACTCTCTCCAGACTCTCCATCTTGACTCCTCCTTCCTACTTCCTCTTTCCTCCTGGTCTTCTAGTCCCACCTATCTAGCTTTCCTATTGCCCAACAGTGCTTTATTCATTAACCAGTATGAGAAACATATTTACAGAATGACAACTCCCATCAGATGACTGGCAGTCTGCTTGTGTGAACACCTCAGAGATGCTCAGAGAAGACAACCCTCAGCAGCCAAAATCACTGTGACCATGGCTGCTGCGGAGTACAGTCTCAGGAGGCTTGGATCCAGTGACACCTCTGCAGACATCTCACAGCTGCCCGAGGAGCCTTCACTTTAGCCATGAGAGGCCTTGGTGACTTCTCCATGACCCCGCCATCTCAGCTAGTCTCATGGGGATGGAACCTTTACTCAATGACTCAGTAAGGCCCATGATTGATAGACATTTGAGGATTGTGATTGGTGGGAATAGAGCTGCAACTATGCAGGACTCTGATGGGTGGATGTCAATCAAGCATTTCTGTCTTAGGGCTCTAATGCTGTGAAGAGACTCCATGAGATGACAAATCTTACAAAGGAAAAGATTTAACTAGGGCTGGTGTACAGTTTCAGAGTTCTAGTCCATTTTCTTCATGGTAGACATGGCAGCATGTAGTCAGACATGGTGTTGGAGGAGGATCTGAGACCTATATCTTGATCCCTAGGCAACAGGAATCAACTGTGTCTAACCTGAGCATAGACTGAGCATAGAAGACCTTAAACCCCATCCCCAAAATGACACACTTCCTCCAACAAGGCCATACCTACTCCAACAATTTTATGTCTCCTATAGTGCATTCCCTGTGAGCCTATGAGGGCCAGATACAGGCAAACAGCCACAATGTCCGTGTGGCTGTCAAAGCAGCATGGTTTTCATTCTTTTCTTTTTAAAATATACTCTAGAAACAATCTTATTTTACATATCATTCCCAGTGCCCTCTCCCTCCCATCTTCCCATGGCCCTCACCGACTTCCCCCATCTCACCCCCCCATTTACTCTCAGGGAGGGTGAGGCCTTCCATGGGGAATCATCAAAGTCTGTGACATCATTTGGGGCAGGGTCTGGGCCCTCCCCTCCGTATCTAGGATGAGAGATTATCCCTCCATAGGGAATGGACTCTGAAAGTCCATTTGTGCACTGGGGATAAATACTGGCTCCAGTGTCAGAAGTCCCATCAACCGCCCAGCCCTCCTAACTGACATCCACATTCAGGAGGCTTGGTTCAGTCTTATGCTGGTTCCCCAGATGTCTGACTGGAGTCTTGTTCAGGCCAGCTGTTTCTGTGGGTTTCCCCAACTTGGTCTTGACTGCATTGCTCATCACTCCTCCCTGTCTACACCTGGATTCTAGGAGTTTGCTCATTGCTTAGCTGTGGAACTCTGCTTCTGCTGCCATCAGCTACTGGATAGCATTTAAAGTAGTCATCAGTCTCATTATAGGGGAAGTGCATTTAAGGCAGCCTCTCCACCATTGCTTAGATTCTTAGGTGGGTTCTTCCTGTGACTCTCTGTTCATTACCCTAATGTCAGATATCCCTTTAAAGCTATAAAGGTTGTTATTCTTATTTGTCAGGCTGGAAGCTGTCCTCATGTCTCAGAGGCTCTTTGGTAGAAGCTGACCCTCTGACTATCAAATGTGAAGACAGACCATCCTTGAGAAGGAAGTCTTATGCTAGAGGAGACCCCAGAGGACAGAATATGAACATGGCAGGAATCAAGGAAAGAGACTGCATGTAGATGACCTGTGAGGAAAGGAAGCTCAACATGGAACCCAAGCAAGTCCCAGTCTGTCACCTGAGGAGGAGCATGGAGGGGTCAGGGGCTGTGGATGACATGGCGGTGACCATGGAGAAAGGAAGAGAGATACCAGGACCCTCATGCAGTGGTTCTCAGTGTGGACTCGCTGTGTGCCTTGTCCTGGACACAATCTGCAACTCTCTAAGAGGTCTCGTGTGTGTGTGTGTGTGTGTGTGTGTGTGTGAGAGAGAGAGAGAGAGAGAGAGAGAGAGAGAGAGAGAGAGAGAGACAAGAGCCACACTGAGATGATTGTTGGGAGTAAGACATTTATTGAAAAGTGTTATTACTTCTCCAGACAGACAGAGAACAGCACCATTGTGTTCTCAGGACCAGAGTAGACAAGGCGACCTTGGTTCTGAGGAGAGGATATCAGAGTCCACATGTCCAAAGTGTGGCTTCTCTTCTTGTACCTGTCCAAGGAAAGGATCTATCACAGCTCCCTCCTGCAGCCTCTCTGGTCTTCACTAAAGAGTCAGGGGAAGGGAGGGGATGCAGGATGTGTGGCCAGCAACCCATACTTTTAAGTAAACTCACTTCCCTGGTGACAGATGCTGGTCTGGAGTCTGTTAGCAGGGGACTAACAGACAGTGTCTCATCAGGTGCCTGTGGGTGACCCTGAGATGGAGAGGACGATTTTCCAGTTTTCTCCTTGTATCAGTTAGGTCCCCAGAAATGGAAGCCAGGTTCTTTGGGCTAGGCGGCCAACATCATTCCCACTGAGCTATCTTGTTTGCCCACACTATTTTTTGTTCTTTAATAAGTAATTTAAAAATTCTTCATTTAAATAAGAATTAGAAAATGTTGTTAATATGATTTATCTTTTTGGGTTTTTTTTTTTTTTTTGTGACATAGCCTCTCACTGGCTTGGAACTCTCCTATTAGTGTTGAGTAGCTGCACATCGAGCCCTATGACTCTGCTCTGTTCTCGCTTGTCCAGGGCTGAAGGTACAATTTCCTGCCATCTGCTTTGCTAATAATGTGTGTTTTCTGGATCAATCTCAGGTCCTCCTGTCCATGTTCGAGGGTTTCCTGACTGAATCATCTCTCTACTCCCTTGCATGTCTCTCAGAGCAAACATCCTGAAAGGCCCCTCACCTGCTCGCTGGGATGACGGGGCGCCCACCTGGCTGGGCTTTGGCTTTAGGGTGCTGGCCTGTAGGAGAAGAAACGGTGTCAGTGTGGCAGCCATGCTGACCCTCCCTCTGCCTCTCAGCTGTTCTCTGTGTTCAGACAACATTAGGGGCCCAGGGCAGCAAACAGCTCTGCAGCAGCCATTCAGGGACAGGATGAGAGTCACCAGGACCTGGGGCCAGTCCTCAGCTGTCCTTCAGCACAGCACAGCCAATCAGGGGAAAGCTCTCCTGGTCCATTGCTCCTTGTCCATCCCCTTTCCCTTTACTTCCTTCCCCCTGCCTTGAACTCCTGTCCCTTCCCTGCTTTCCCTCTCTGCACTCACCATGCCTCCCCTTTGCCTCCCTGGGAACCAGCTCTGTAGCTTTCCCTGTGAGTGCAGCCTGCTGCAGCCCTGCCAGTTCAGCCTCAGGGCTGGAGTCACAGTCAGACTTGTGCTGTGTCTGAGGCTGCTGCTCTCCAGAGCTCAGTTCCTCTTCTTCCCTCATTGGAGGGCCGGGCCCTTCTGAAAACCAGGGGCTACATGGTTAAGTCTGTATTTCTGCACTTTCTAGTATATTCTAGTCTTTACTGATCTCACTATACATCTGTAGTCTTCTACTCACTGTAGATTTAAATCTACACTGAACACAGTCCACACTTGGCTCTTGTTTTATGTGTACAAGGTCAATATGAGCCCAGGTTGGCCTTCAACTTTCTATGTAACTGCAGATGGCCTTGAACTTGGGATCCTTCTCTTTCCATTTCTCAAATGCTGGGATTAGAGATGTTCCTAGGTGTGTTCCCATATTTATTTTTTAGAATCCTTAAGAATGTTAGAAGACAAACCATTTGTCTTCACAAAAATGCAGTTGGAAATGAATAGGGATTGCAATGAATTTCTTGATTGTTTTGCCTTGTAAGGACTTACAGTATATATTTTACAGTATGTAAATATCCTTACATATTTTAGTGTTTCCCAAAAAATTTTAAAAGATTTTTGGGCAGTATATATGTGAGTATGTATATTTTCATATGTGAAAACATGTGTATGGCAGAGGACAACCTTAGACATTGACCTGCAAGAGCTGGACCACCCAAATGCCCCCTTGACTTCCACAGGAACAGGCTCTGTGTATATCTGTACTTGATCCACATGGTTTCTAAGGCAAGTAGGTGCCAATTTAGTCTTTGTTGAGTTCAGCCATTTTACTTTACTTGTGTCCCTTGGACTCTGCCCTGCACAAGCTCATCCTTCCCCATCCCCCCACAGCTGAGAGAACTCAGAGGGGAAGCTCAGGTGAGGGCCTGTCCTGGACACTTACCTTTGCTCCCAGCACAGGAAGATCATCAACACACAGACGGGGGTTATGAGCACAGCCGTGGCCACCACCACCCCGACTGTGGCTGCCAGGTTCACAAGTGAAGGATTGCTCTGACCCTCTGTGTCCTCCAGGCCAGCTGTGGTGACTGCAGAGGTGACTAAGGAGGGAGTTTTCATGGTGGTGCTGACAGCTGGGGAGAGACTAGAGTTAGCACTTCTTCCCTGGATGAGGGAGGGATGGGGTGAGTCCCACCTTGTCTCCTCTGTGGGATGTGGGACGGGAACAGCTCTTAGAAGTTCACACAGAGAGGGGCACAAAGGCTGAGACTCTAGGAGAGCAAGGTCAAATGCACGCTCTGCACCTGTCCTGGAGGTGTGTCCTCAGATCTTCATTTGGTCACAGGTAAATAAGTCACAGAAGTAGTTGTTTTGTTCTAAACGTAGGTAATGTACACAGATCTCTAAATCCATAGAGTGTTTGGTCTCTGCAGTTTAGAACCTGAGATTAATCCCAAGAACCCATATGCAGAGCCTGGTGAACCCGACATGGCCTTTACTCTTAGCCCTGGAGGCAGAGGCAGGACATCTGTGAGATAAAGCCACCACCCTGTCTGTGTATTCAGTTCCACACCAAAACAGCTGAGTGAGCTGTGATCCCAGGACTGAGGAGGTGGAGACAGCATGTCCCTAGACTCACTGGCCATCCAGCCTAGCCTACTTGGCAATCTCAAAGCCAATGTGAGACCCTGACACACACACACACACACACACACACACACACACACAAAGGTGGATGACACCTGAAGTTGTCATATAGTCTCACATGTGCTCATGAACAAATGTGTACATTCCTGCATTCACAAACACAAACACACACACACACACACACACACACACACCTGTGTTAACAGACCCACATCACACATACAGAATACACAAAAATGTATAACAGAAAATATACAATTCTGGCTGTAAGTGTATAGCTCAGTGCAGAGCAGAGTACATTAATTTCCTCTACAAACATCACTGAGGTCAATTTCTGTAACATATTCCTATTGGGAAATCCTAACCCAGCTGTTCTCTACTTGTGTGTCCCTAAGCTCACAAGGGCCGGATTATCAGGTATCCTGCATATCATGTATTTACATTACAAGTCATAAGAGCATCAAAATTAAAGTTGTGATGCAGCAACAAAGAAATTGTATGGTTGGGGATCATCACAATAAGAGGAACTTTTAAAGGGTCACAGTAAAGAAGGTTGGGAACTCCTGCTCAAGAACCATGAAACAGCTCCTTCCCTTTTCTGAGCTCTGGAAACTACTGTTTGACAATACACCAGGTCAACATGGCCATCACAGAGACTGCACAGAGAACTGCGCTCAGGGCGTCCTCTCAGAGGTTGACCTCAATATAATCAAGAGCCACAGCTGGGCGTCGCAACATATGACTATCTCAGCACTTGGGAGCCAGAGGCAGACAGATTTATGTGAGGTCCATGCCAGCCTGGTCTACTTGTGAGCTTGGGGACAAGCAAGGCTAAGTGGTGAGACCCTGTGCTATAAAACAAAAATATAAATAAAGAAATTAACATCTACACAGCAAGGTTGTGAACAAGAACCAAGTACATCGACTCCTGCGGCTCCAGGATGGCCATGTTCAGGACCACACAGTGACTGGGTTGGGTATCAGTACTCCCAGTGCATGGGCCTGCAGTCCCTTCTGCCTCGGATGAGCTGCTCTGTCTTCAGACACATCATGAAGGAGGCATTATTTTGAAAATCCCAAGGGCTTCTGTGGGAAAGGTGAGGGCAAGGGAAGGAAGGAAGGGGGTTGGGAAACCGAGAGGAGGGGGTTTGTAGGGCTGAGGTGAGGGATGTGTCCTGGGAGCTAGCAGGACTAGTGGGCACTGTGGTGACGGGTGGCAGTTTACAATTGGATTGTAGGACATGAAGAACATCCAGTGGGCACCTACTGTTTATTCTGGGCTTAGGTGGGAGCTGTGTGGAGACCTGCCACAGGACCAAGTGAGTCAGCTACATCCTGGAGACGTCAACCCACCTGGAGGTCATGGGGAATGGGGGCAGTGGGCAGAGCCGTGGTGTTAGACTTGGAACAAAAGGGGATGAACTAGGGTAGAGGGCCCATCATGAAGCCTAGTTAGGTGTGGGGTTCTCTCTGAGCAGAGAATGGCAGACAAGGTCAGAGACGGCAGCAAAAGCTTGTCACAACTACTAGGACAGAGGCATGGGCAGAGCCAAGGAAAAGGAATATGAAGCCAAGCTCAGAGGTGTGGAGCCTGAGGTGACATCTAGTGGAGAGGAAATCAGAGGCATCAAAACCTAAGCCAGCATGGCTCACCACGGGTGATGGTAAGTTGAGTCCCTTCAATTGACTGCCAACTCTCCGTGCCTTTTGTTGTGTTCAGATGAACTCTGCAGAAGTACACTGTCTGGTCCTCCTCCTTCAAGTCCAGGATTCTGAGGACTCCGGATGTCTGAGGCTGTGTCCAGTTCAGGATGAGCCGGTTCTTGAAATGTTTGTGTATGAAAGGTGGGGAGGAGTTGTAGATAAATTCCCCATGGAAGACTTTCCATCTCCAGAGAATCCTCATCTGCCGAATCTTTGTCAACTCCCAGGGGAAGTAGAAGGAGAAGGGGATCTCGATGGAGCCGTCCTGGACACCGGAGAGGCGTGTTGGTTGGTTAACCGCAAAGGATCTTTCTCTGTTGGATCCTGCTGAGTTACCTGGGCAGGATGGGGAGAATTTGGAGCCACTGCAGGACATGGAAAGAACAACTCACAGGCAGGTGTGGGACACAAGAAGGACTGTCCTATGGCTGGTGGGACAGAAAAGATAGAAAGGTTGGGTTGGACCAACTCTGAAGATGAGTACTCTCTTGGGGCAGAGAAGACTGGCTGCTTGCTAGGGCAGTCACCAATCCACATGGCAGTCCACTCTTCCCAGCCCCACTGGCCCACCCTGTGGTTAAGGCAGATAGCAAAGTCCCTCCACTCACCAGCTTGCAGGCATGGTGCTAGCAGCAGCAAAAGCAGGATCCAAGCCATGATCTGATTCCCTTCAGGAATCGAGAGCAGCAGAGCCATCAGGCAGGGGAACAGGCCCTGTGGAGGGACCCTGGGGTGCTCAGGACTCAGGAGAGAATCTTGTTAAAATGACCCACACCCTCCAGGCCTTCTCATGTGGAGAACTGAATGGGGACAGGACCTCCTTATCTGCACCTCCTTGTGGCCACCAATTTTTTTTTTTAATCATCTGACTTCCTCTTTCTCATGTTGCAGAAGATCTGCCCTCTGATCACTGACAACATGACTGCGCCTTGAGCCCAGCCCCCCCATTTTTGGCTAGAAGATATGGCCTTGACATCACCATGGAGGCCTCTTTCCCATCTTGACCTCCTGTCTATCCAGGCTGTCTTTCTCTTCCTCCCTCCTTATCCTGCCTCCCCTCCCCAGTCTCTCATATCTTCCTGTCTTGATGGTTCTCTGTTCTCTGTGTCTCAGCCTCCATCATCTCAAGGAAGGGGCTTCCTGGACGAGCATGTGCTCTTTCCGGGAGAGAAAAGCTGAGCAGCTGAATCCCATACTCAGCTAAGAGATGCTAATGATGGAGATGCTGGAGTGGATGCTTCCTCAGTTCCCAACTCTAGAACGTGGTTTCTTCCTTCCTTCCTTCCTTCCTTCCTTCCTTCCTTCCTTCCTTCCTATTTTTCTTATTTTTACATATCAATCCCAGTTCCTTCTCTCCCTCTCTCCCACCCATGCCCCCTGACCACCCTCCCATCTCACCCCCTCCACACACACACACACACACACACACACACACACTCCACAGGGAGGGTGAGGCCTTCCAGGAGGGATCATTAAAATCTGTCAAGTCATTTGGAGTAGGGCCTAGGCCCTCCCTCCTGCCTCTAGGTTAAGGGAGTATCCCTCCATGGGGAATGTGCTCCCAAAGTCCTTTTGTGCATCAGGGATACATCCTGGTTCCACTGTCAGAGGTCCTGTAGACTGCCCAGGCCTTCTAACAGAGACCCATGTTCAGGGAGTCTGAGTCGGTCCAATGCTGGATTCCCAGCTATCTGTCTGGGGGTCCATGAGCTCCTCCTTGTTCAGGTCAGCTGACTCTGTGGGTTTCTGTAGCCTGATCTTGTTCCCTTTTCTTATCACTCCTCTCTCTCTCTCTCTGCATTTGGGTTCCAGTTCGGCTCAGTGTTTAGTTGTGGGTGTCTTCTTCTGTTTCCATCAGCTACTAGATGAGGGCTCTATGATGTCACATAATTTAGTTATCAATCAGGGAAGGGCATTTAAGGTAGCCTTTCCACTGTTGCTCAGCTTGTTAGTTGGGGTCAGTCTTGTAGGTCTATGGACATTTCTCTAGAGTCAATTTTCTATTCAAACCTATAATGGCTCCCTCTTTTATGGTATCTCTTTCTTTCTTTTTTTCTTTCTTTCTTTCTTTCTTTTTTTCTTCTCTTGTCTATTCCTCCTCTGACTCAATCTTCCTAGTCCCATGTAGAACATGGTTTCTTATTCTGCTCTTTGAGCCCTTGCCCTTCTTCAGCAACTCCATATAGTCCTCAGGATGAACCAAGTCATGGTAGACCAGCACTTCCCTGCCCTGCCCTGCCCTGCCCTGCCCTGCCCTGCCCTGCCCATTTCACAATGTCCCTAGCCTTCCCAGACATGGATTTTAAAGCTTATTCTGTTTCTGAAAGAGCCTGCTGCCCTCCCGCCCACAGAAAGAGCCCTGGCTCCGGTCATGCCAGCATCAGATGAAGGACCTCACTAAGTCCTTGTAGGGTTCTGCTCTGCACTGAGTTGTCAGCCTGGCCAAAAGGCATCACTCAGCCTTACCTTAAAGGCCAGGAACAGGTGACACCTCCCTTGAAGTTCTAGAGATGACTTGGTCTAGCTGTGGTCATTCCAGAACATTCTCTGCACTAATTGGGAAAACAAGGCTCTGAGGAGCAATGTGTCACTCATGACATACTTCATGGGACATCTCTGAGAGGCAACACAGACTGTGACTAGGATGGAGACATGAGAGATGGGGGTAGAGGTTGTCGTGGCCTCTGGGCTGGTTCTGTAGAAAGGTCATCCTACCCTTCCCTGTGACAAGGCTCCATCAGTTCCCTGATGAGCAAGAAGACATGATTGTACCAGAGGAAGTGGCATCATTCTTCCTGAGTGACATGTGCAGAGGTGAATTCCCATTTCCTTAGGTTCCTGGCATTGATAGCCTTCTTCCCTGTAGCTGGCTATGCAGCCTGCCATCTGTCATATCTGCTTTCTCTGCCTTCCTCACAGTCCCCACAGCCCTCTGATCCCTTGACCTGAGCTCTTATGGTCATGGACCTCATTCTCATGGCCTCAGGGCTAGCTGCACATGGACACACTTCAAGATGCATCCATTGTACCCTTAGAGATGCAGGCAGAGCCTTTGGGATGAGTTGGCCCCAGATGAACAGTCAGTCAGGAGAAGGGACAGGGTATCTGTCAGGAAGTGGTCCCTCTTTATTGGGTGGGGTCTCAAGTAGCCCAGGCTGGACCTTGAACTTGTTATGTAACCAAGGATGACCTTGAACTCCTACTGACCCTCCTGTCTGCTCTCCCAAGTGCTGAGGTGACTTGTGTGCCCAACTGCACACCTTTGTGTCCTGAAGCAGATGGAACCTAGGGTTCTGTGTGTGCCAAGCACACACAGACTCTACCAGATGACCCACATCTTTAGACTCCATGAGGTCAGAGACAGGGGACCTTCTGGTCCTGAGCATGCCCCTCCAGGCTTTATCTGGCTTTGCCCTACTGTCTGGGGTCGATGGATAAAAGGTCGCTCAATTTCTAAGTCACCAAGGATCATCTGGCCTTAACAAGACTGTCATATACTAGTGTATGGGAAGTATAATTTAAAAAATTAAAAGCCAGGTGGTGTAGGCATGGTGTTGTACACCTTTAATTCTAGCATTTGGGAGGCAGAGGCAGAGGTAAGTGGGACTCTGAGTTTGTGGCCAGCCTGGTCAGTATATTCAGGTCCTGAACTGGAGTGGCACAGAATGAGATCTTTTCTCAAAAAGCCAAAAACCCTTTAAACAAACAAACAAACAAACAAGCCAAAAAATCAAGCTGGGTATTGGTGGTGCACGCCTTTAATCCCGGCACTCGGGAGGCACAGGCAGGTGGATCTCTGAGAGTTAAAGACCAGCCTGATCTACAAAAGCTATTTTCAGGATAGAGTCCAAAGCTGCACAGAGAAACCCTGTCTCGGCTCCAACTAACAATCTGAGCAACAGTGAAAAGGCTACCTTAAATGCCCTTCCCTGATAATGAGATTGATAACTAACTTATATGCCATCATAGAGCCCTCATCTAGTAGCTTATGGAAACAGAAGCAGACACCCACAGCTAAACACTGAGCTAAACTCCTGGAATCCAGTTGCAGAGAGGGAGGAGTGATAAGAAAAGGGGTCAAGACCAGGCTACAGAAACCCACAGAGACAGATGACCTGAACAAGAGGGAACTGGGATCGACATATAAAATAGTAAATTAAATAAATAATTTTAAAAAGCCAAAATTCAAAACAAACAAAAAACCACAAACAACAAAAACCTGCAAACAAACAAAAAACTCAAAGTAGATGGTGTTCTGAGTAGTGAGTGATACCTGAGGTTGTCCTCTGGCCTTCACATACATGCACACATTTACTTACACACGCGCCTACACAAACACACACACACACACACACACACACACAAATCATGCAAGGCACCTTTTACATTGGATCCACCACCACACATTTACCCAGTCCTCCTCCTGAGTAAACATGGTCTCCAGGGCAGGCTCTGTGACTCTTCAGACTCCAGTTCCTGATGCTGTCCCCAGCATTCAGACTGATTTTATATCCAACTGTGTTATCCCATGAGAGTGATGAAAACCAAACCATCTAATTCCAGAAACTTCCCTCAAATAACCCACACTACAGGCCTTGTGGGCCCCAACACAGAAGATAACTATTGATGTTTAATAAGGATCAGGAGAAACAAACAGGCCGAATAGATGTTTATTCAGGAAGAAATAACTTACAACATAGACAGATGAACACCAGCAGGTTCCTGGTCCCAAGGATGCCTCCGGATGTTCTCCTATCCCTGTGCTGCAAGCAAGAGAGTGCTCCAAGCCCCCTCCTAAGACTTAGTTCCCCCAGGTAATGTCCAGCCCTGTCTCCACCCCCCAATGGGCGTGGTATATGCCACAGGTGCAGACAGATAACCTCATTGACACTACTTCCGATCCATCTGCCCACCCCTCCTGTCACACCATGTATCCTCCTACTCCTTGATTTCTCTTGTCCCATGACAACATACAGACCCAGATTAACCTTCCCAGCCTGGGGCCTGAGGGATTGCCAGAGTAGAAGGATGGTGGATGAGGGTGTAGACAGGACACTGCAGCTTTATAATAACAAGTTGCCCCACCTCCGCCTGACCTCTTCTTTGTCTCCTAGGATGGCATCATCATCATCTTCATCTTCATCTCCCTCACGTGCTGCCCAACCTCAACGTGAGCACTCCCTGCACTCCTGCTCAGGGGAGCCCCAAGAAGAAGCTCTGCACTGTGTCCTAGAGGCCCAGTGGGTGGGGCTGCGTGACCAGCTCAGTCTCCTGCTCCTCTGGTAGGAAGTCTCCCAGCCTCTGCAGATACTGAAGGGCAGAGGCAGGACTTCACACATCATTGAGTTTGAGGTCACAGAAACTGAAACACTACCAATTCCCTTTTCAATGTTATGTCTGTTGCTTTAAAAAACATAATTAATACTTACAAAATATGTACCAGTGACTTTCAAGACATAACTGGTGACATCTTCAAGTTCTCTGTCTCCATACAATCTGATGTATGGAGCTGATGGACAATCTACCTCCACGTTCTCTCTGTACTGCTTGGAGTTTTGGTTAGCTTTGTTGTTTGTTTGGTTTTGAAACAGAGTCTCATAGAGCCCAGGCTGGCCTCAAGCTTAATATGTAGCAATGATAACTTTCAGTTCATGATCTTCCCATCTCTGATGTCAATTATTGGGATTACAGGCATATGCCACCATACTCAGCTTCCTCTAGTATTTTTTGTTACTGACTGGCTCAGGCCAGGGAACACAAATCCTAAACACTGGCAGCCATGTTTGACTCATGTCTACCATTTACTTGAGCAGTAATGTTCCTTTAAGGGCATTTGGCCAGAAGTGAAGTACCTTAATGATGTTCCAGGATAAGCTTTTGCTGCTGGACCATTTGATGTTTCTCCCTTGTGGACACAGAAAACTGAACCGGTAAGTCACATGACCATTTGAGTAACAGCTTTGAGGTCCCTTTTCTGTACCCAGCTGCCTGTGGGGAAGAGATGAAGAACAGACACCCTTTAGGTGACTGGCAGCTTGCTTATGTGAACACCTCAAAGATGCTCAGAAGAGACAGCACCTCAGCTGCCAAAATAACTGTGACCATGGCTGCTGCAGAGTTCAGCCTCAGGAGGCTTGGATGCAGTGACACCACTGCAGACATCTCTCTGCTGCCCCAGGAGACTTCACTTTAGCCAGGAGAGGCCTTGGTGACTTCTCCATGAGTCCTCCATTTTGAGCTAGTCTTATGGGTTTGGGGACAGTTTTCCCATGACTCAGCAAGGCTGATGATTGGTAGGTATTTGAGGATTGTGATTGGTGGGAATAGAGCTACACCTATGCAGGACAGTGATTGGTGGATCGCATTCACCCATGCCTGCCTTGGGGTTTCTATTGCTGTGAAGAAACACCTTGAGCATGATAGCTCTTATAAAAGAAAAGATTTAATTGGGGCTGGCTTACAGTTTCAGAGGTTTAGTCCACTATCATCATGGTGGGGCGTGGCAGCGTGCAACCAGACATGGTGCATCTTGATCCCCAGGCAACAGGAAGTGAATGAGTCTAAACTGAGCATAGACCGAGCATAGGAGAATTCAAACCCCATTCACACAATGACACACTTCCTCCACCCAGGCCATACCCACTCCAACAAAGCTAAGCCACCTAATAGTGCCACTCCCTATGAGCTTAAAGGGAGCCATTTACATTCCAACTGCCACATTGCCCTTAATTGTCTTCCGGCTTTGAAAGCAGCCTAGTTTTCATTGATCAGTCCTTGGATGCTGTCCTTATATCGCAGAGGCTCTTTAGTAGAAGCTAACCCACTGACAATCAAATGTGAAGACAGACCGGCTTTGGGAAGGAAGTCTTGTGCTAGATGCGGCCCCAGAGGTCAGAATATCAACATGGCTGGAAATAAGGAAAGCAACTGCATGTAGATGGCCTGTGAGGAAAGGAAGCTCAACACGGGACCCAAGCAAGCCATGTCTGTCACCTGTGGAGCAGCATGGAGGGGTCAAGGAGAAACAGATGGATTGCTGGGAGTAACCCATGTAATGAAAGTGTTATTAATTCCATAGACTGAAACGGCTTCATCCGGTTCTCAGGACAGAGGAAGATATTATGACCTGGGCTCGGGAAAGGCCATCAGAGCTCACGTGGCAGAACTGTGGGGTCTCTTCTTACACCTTTCCAAGGACAGGGTGTTTGCATGGCACAGGCCTGCAGACATGCTCTCTGATTCCCAGCCTGGGGCAGGGAGGACAGTTGGGAGCAGGATGTGTGGTCACTACTTTGCTGTAAACTCTCCTCCCAGGAGAGAGGTCCTGGCTCCTGGACATCTGTAATCTGGGGTCTCATAGACGATGTCAGGTGTGTGCAGGTGTCTGTGAGAGGGAGAGGACAGTTTTCTTGCACCCACTTGTGTGCCCTGGAATTGAACCCAGATTCTTGGGCCAGGCAGCAGGCTCCTTTTTCCTACTGAGCTATCGCTCTTCTCCTGGTGTTTCTTTCATCCATTAACATATAACTTTAAAATAATTGATCTAAAATAAATTTAGGAAATGTCATGACCATGTTTGTCCCCTTGGGAATCCACAGGCTATTACATAGCCTGCCGTTGCTCTGGAACTCAGCAATTAGGCTAGACTAGCTGGACAGACAGCCCATGACTCTGGTTGACTCTTGCTTGTCCAGGGCTGGGATTGCAAACATATGCCACCTGCCAGGTTCATAATGTGGGTTCTGGAGATCAAGCTAAGATCCTCATGTGTCCCCCTACCCCCCCCCCCAAAGCGTTGCTGGCAGAATCATCTCTCTAGCTCTCTTGCATGCCTCTTACAACAAATTTCCCCAAACAGCCTGTCTGAATCAAAGACCATTGCTGTGAAGAGACACCATGACCACAGCAACTCTCACAAGGGAAAACATTTAATTGGGGCTGGCTTACAGTGTCAAAGGTTTAGTTTATTATCATCATGGTGAGAAGTTTCGTGGTACACAGGCAGACATGGAGCTGTAAATGTACCTAGGATGCTGTTCATTCTACATCCAGATTGGAGGCAGCAGGAAGAGGGAGGGAGACACTGGTCCTGGCTTGAGCATTTGGAATGGCAAAGCCTAACAGCAATGACCCACTTCCTCCCCTGTGTGCCATTGCTGGAGACACAGCATACACATGCTTGTCCTTATGCTGACCACCACACCTGCTCGCTGGGATGACGGGCGCCCACCTGGCTGGGCTTTGGCTTTAGGGTGCTGGCCTGTAGGAGAAGAAACGGTGTCAGTGTGGCAGCCATGCTGACCCTCCCTCTGCCTCTCAGCTGTTCTCTGTGTTCAGACAACATTAGGGGCCCAGGGCAGCAAACAGCTCTGCAGCAGCCATTCAGGGACAGGATGAGAGTCACCAGGACCTGGGGCCAGTCCTCAGCTGTCCTTCAGCACAGCACAGCCAATCAGGGGAAAGCTCTCCTGGTCCATTGCTCCTTGTCCATCCCCTTTCCCTTTACTTCCTTCCCCCTGCCTTGAACTCCTGTCCCTTCCCTGCTTTCCCTCTCTGCACTCACCATGCCTCCCCTTTGCCTCCCTGGGAACCAGCTCTGTAGCTTTCCCTGTGAGTGCAGCCTGCTGCAGCCCTGCCAGTTCAGCCTCAGGGCTGGAGTCACAGTCAGACTTGTGCTGTGTCTGAGGCTGCTGCTCTCCAGCTCTCAGTTTCTCGTTATATCTCATTGGAGGGCTGAGCCCTTCTGAGAACCATGGGCTTAAATAGTTCAAATCACTACTTCTGAGCTTTCTATAACTCTCCACTTTTCTTTGTACTTATCCTGCAGTCTTCTTACCATGCAATCGAATCTCCTCTGAAACCAAACAACACTTGGTGTTTTGTTTGTTTGTTGTGTGTGTGTACAAGGTCTCAATGAGCCCAAGTCACTTTTAACTTACTACATTACTGCAGATGGCCTTGAACTCCTGATCCTATCTGTGTACTTCCCTAGGGTTGGAATTACAGGGTTCTTCTAATGTGTCTGCAGTTTTATTTCTTAGAGTCCTTATGAATTTTAAAAGATAAGTCACATATCTCTACAAAAATGAAATTGGGATTTGTATAGGAGTGTGTTGGGGGACGTCCTTCTGTTTATATGTTTCTCTTATTGTTTGATGAATAAAACATTGATTGTCCAGTAGCCAGGCAAGAAGCATAGGAGGGCTACCAGACCAGGAAAATTCTGGGAAGAGGATGGAGAGAGAGGTTTTGGGGGGAGAAGCTATGTAGCTGCCAAAGGAGTAACATGCCGGATTATGGGTAAGCCACAGCCTCGTGGCAATACATAGTTCAATAGAAATGGGTTAATAATTAAGAAAGAGCCAGCCAATAAAAAGCCTGAGCCTTTGGTCAAACAGTTTAAAATTAACATGCCTCTGTTTGCTTGTTTGAGGCTAATCGGCTATGGGACCAGGCAGGAAAGAAACTCAGACTACAGGTGTGTATTAAAATTTTAGAGAATTTTGCATTATAAGGACTTAACGTCTAAAATTTTCAATGCTGAAAATACCCTTATATTTATTTATCTAAATTTAAAAATTTATTTTTGTGTAGTACTCCAAGAACACATGTATACATTTGCATTGTGCACACTCTTGTGGATGTTAGAGTACAATGATGGCTGTGGTTGTGAATGGCAGGGGGCTCAGCAATTATGCAGGGCTGGCAGCACAGTGAGCCTCAGGGATCCTAATGCATCTGCCTATCCAAACATCTGCAACATGGCCAACTTTTTACGTGAGTTCTTGTGTTTGTGTGGCAACCAATTCATCACCAGAGCTACCCTGCAGGCTTTTCTGTAATTTCTCTCAGCAGGGTTTTGTTTTTAGGGCACGTATTTATGCCTCTTTTAGTGTAGGTCATTTCCATACATGTTCTTTCATCTGTGGGTTTAATATTCACCATTGTCTTAATTCCCGTTATAAGACCGTATCCCCAACACAAACAGTTGTCACACAAACAGTTGTCTCATTTTAACCCATTTCACTTCCTGTGAGCTGTGGTCCTTGAATGCTGGTCTACCTCAGACCTTGTATAGAAGCTACAGGTCTTTCCAAATGAGCAGCCAGCCCCTGAGGCTCCCACATGCCCCATGAATTCCTCAGGAGCAGACTCTGTGTCCATCTGCACTTGATCCTCTAATTTCCAGCTGGGACTCTGGGACAGTGGGCACAGATTCAGCCCTGGTTGAGCTCAGCCCCCTTCCTCCTGCCCTTGTGTTCTCTGGACTCTGCCCAGCACAAGCTCATCCTTCCCTATTGCCCACAGCTGAGAGAACTCAGAGGGGAAGCTCAGGTGAGGGCCTGTCCTGGACACTTACCTTTGCTCCCAGCACAGGAAGATCATCAATGCATAGGCAGAGGTTATAAGTGCAACTGTGGTAACCACCACCCTGACCATGGCTCCCAGGTTCACAAGTGAAGGATTTCTCTGGCTCTCTGTGTCCTCCAGGCCAGCAGAGGTGATGATGGAGGGAGTTTGTATGGTGGTTCTGACAACTGGGGAGAGATGAGAGTTACAGATCTTCCCTGGATGCGGGAGGGATGGGGTGAGAATCACATGTTGACTCCCCTGTGGGATGTGGGATGAGGAACAGCTCTCAGAAGTTCCCACAGAAAGAGGAACAAAGGCTGAGACTCTAGGAGAGCAAGCTCCAATGTACGCTCTGCACCTGTCCGTCCTGGTGGTGTGTCCTCAGATTTTCATTTGGTCACAGACGGCTAAGCCACAGCAATACAGATGTTCTTGTCATAAACGTCAGTAACTTTCATAGATGTCTCAGCCCACAATGTTTGCTCTTGGGAACTTAGAACCTGATATTGATCCCTAGAATCCATGTGAAGACCCTGGTGACCTGGGCATGATCTTTAATCTTAGCCCTGGAGGCAGAAGCAGCAAGATCTCTGTGAGGAAAACGCACGCGTGTGTGTGTGCGCGCACACACGCGCACACACACACACACACACACGCACACATGCACATACTCACACACATACACACATGTGCACATACACACGCACACGCATGCATGCATGCACATACATGCACACACACACACACACACACACACACATTCAGTTCCACACCCAACACAGCTGAGTGACCTGTAATCCCAGCAGAGAGGAGGTGGAGACCGCATGTCCTTGGGGCTCAAGGCCATCCAGCCTATTCTACTTGGCAAACTTGAAGCTAGTGAGAGACCCTGTCTCACAAAATAAGGAAATGTCACATGAAGTTGTCCTGTAGCTTCCACATGCACATGAAGAAATGTGAACACACACACCTGAATAACAGACCCTCATGATCACATACAGAGTATAAACGTGTATAACAGAATATATATAATTTGTCCTTAAGTGTACAGCTCAGTGCAGGGAAGAGGGCATTCATTTCCTCTACAAACATCACTAAGGTTAATTTCCACAAAATGTATCTATTTGAAAAACTAGACCAGCCATTCTGAACCTGTGGTTTGCCACCCCCACAGTGGTGGGACATAAGATATCCTGTATATCAGATATTTACAGAACAAATCGTAACAGTGGCAAAAGTATAGTTAAGAAGTAGTAATGAAATAACCTTTTAGTCTATGTGTGTGAGGGGGAGGGGACTACCATGAGGAACTGTTTTGAGGGTGACAGCATTAGGAAGGGTGAGAGTCACTGCTCTAGATCCTAGAGGCAGCTCCTTTCTCTCCCTGCCCTGAGCCCTGGCCGCTGCTGTTTGATGTGACATCAGGTGAACATGGCAGCCACAGAGACTGCACAGGAACGGGGCTGTGGGCGTCATCTCAGAGGTTAGCATTAGTCCAGTCAAGAGCCACAGCTGGTTGTGGTGGCGTGTGACTCTAATCTCAGCACTTTGGAGGTAGAATCGGACAGATTTCTGTGAGTTCCAGGACAACCAGGGCTAAACGGTGAGATCCTGTCTTCTAAAAGCCAAACACCAATATATAAAGAAATAGCCACAGAGCAAGGCTGTGATGGACAAGGAAGCACACAGAGCCCCCGGCTCCTGTAGGGCCACACGAAGAACTGAGGAGTAAAAGCCACTCAGTGTTCCCAGAGCACGGGACTGCAGTTACTTGTGTCCCAGAGGAGAGGCAGGGATCAGAAGACAGAGCAGTCACAACATGACAATGTGGACATGATTTCCCAAGACATTTGGAACTTGTGTGGGAGTGGGGAGGGCAAGAGGGCAAAAAGAAGAGAGAGGAGTTGGGAAATGAAGAGAAGACAGGAGTGGGTAGGGAGAGGTGAGGGGTGTGTGCTGTGGAGCTAGGAGGGGGAAATGGGGGGCTGTGGTGACAGGTGGCATTTCACACTTAGACTTCAGGACATCAAGAACACCCAATGGGCACCTAGTGTTCATTCTGGTCTTAGGTTGGAGCTGTGTGAAGATGATCAACACAGGGACCAGTGGAGACCTGAAACAGGACATAGTGAGTCAGCGACATCCTGGAGAAGTCTACCCACCTCAAGGTCATGGGGAAGGACAGAAGTGTTCAAGACTGCAGTGTCAATGGTGAACAGAAAATGGTGAACTGAGGGGTATAACACAAGATAAGGATTAGAGAGGGGGTGGCGTTCCATCTGAGCAGAGTGACAGACAAGGTCAGAAGAGACAGCAAAGGCTTGTCCCAACTACAAGGAAAGATTTTGTTGGCAGAGCCAAGGAAAGAAATATGAAAGAAAGCTCAGAGGTGTGGAGCTGAGGTGACATCTAGGGGACAGGATGTCAGAGGCACCAAAGCCAGAGCCAGGGTGGCTCACCATGGGTGATGGTAAGGTGAGTCCCAACTACAAGGAAAGATTTTGTTGGCAGAGCCAAGGAAAGAAATATGAAAGAAAGCTCAGAGGTGTGGAGCTGAGGTGACATCTAGGGGACAGGATGTCAGAGGCACCAAAGCCAGAGCCAGGGTGGCTCACCATGGGTGATGGTAAGGTGAGTCCCGCCAATCGACTGCCAGATCTTCATGCCTTCTGTTGTGTTCAGATAAATTCGGCAGAAGTACACTGTCTGGTCCTTCTCCTTCAAGTCCAGGATTCTGAGGACTCCGGATGTCTGAGGCTGTGTCCAGTTCAGGATGAACCGGTCTTTGAAATGCTCATGTATGAAACCCGAGGAGGAGTTGTAGATAAATTCCCCATGGAAGTGCTTCCATCTCCAGAGAATCCTCATCTGTGGTTCATCTGTCAACTCCCAGGGGAAGGAGAAGGAGAAGGGGATCTTGATGGAGCTGCCCTGGATACCAGGGAGGTGCGCTGGTTGCTTCATCCAATAGACATGTAATCTGTTGGATTCTGCTGAGTTACCTGGGAAGGATGGGGAGAATCTGAAGTCTCTGCAGGGGATGGAAAGGACAACTAAGAGTTTTCCGAGCCATCATCCACAGGTGGATGTGTGACACAGGAAGGACTACACCTATGTCCCACTGTCCCATTTGGGATAGGACGGACAAGGACGGCTTGGTCTGGACCAATGCTAGGATGAGCTCTTTCTTGGGGTCTTAGCACTGGCAGGCTCCTCTAGCATACGCCTGTCCTCATGACAGCCTGTTCTTCCCAGCCTTATGGGTCTCTCCTGTGTTTAAGGTCCCAATATTGAGGTCCCCATCACTCACCAGCTTGCAGCCATGGTGCTGGCAGCAGCAGAAACAGGGTCCATGTTATGATCTGGTTTCCTCTAGGAATCAAGAGCTGCAGAGCCATGAGGCAGCAGAACAGGCCCTGTGGAGGGACCCTGGGGTGCTCAGGGCTCAGGAGAGAATCAGGGTACAGAGGCTCACAACCTCAGGGCCTCCTCATGAGGAGGACTGAGTGGGGGCAGGACCTCCCCATCTCCACTTCCTGTGGTCAACAACTTCCTTTACCATTTTTTTCTTTCTCTTGTAGCAGATGATCCACCCTTGTGGTCACTGACAAGATGGCTGTGCCCTTGAGCCCAGGTCCCATTTTTGACAGGTAGAGCCTTGATCACAGCGTACCAGGATCTCCTCTCTTCCACCTTCACCTCCTGTCTGATCCAATTCTGTCCACGTCCTGTGTGGACTGTGATCACTGATTCCTCACCTCCACATTTCCTCCACTCCTGCCCTCCCCTCAGTCCATTCCCAATTGTGTCTGTGTCTCTCTAAAAACCTCAGAGAAGTACTCAGTTTATGCTCACCTTGCTATCAAAGTGCCCTCTTCCTGCCTTTCATGCTCTCTTCACGATGTCCGGGAAACCAAGGCCAATGGACACTCTCTCCCTGGCTGCTCACTGCTCCCGAGTCTATGACTTCCCTGGGCTTCTCGTGATCATCTCCCTCACCTCCACAGTGACTCCAAATCTTCTCCAGTTCCTGAAGGAGCCTCTCTGCCTCCTACCGTCCTTATCACACACTCAGAAGAGGATGCCGAGCATCAGAGCAGCCCTGGCACATGTCACATGACTGGCACATGGGGGGTTCACTGGACATCTGTTCCTTTAAGTACTTATAGTCGTTCTCTCCACACAGACTTCCGGCTGCCTGCTGGTGCAGCCTCTGAACTCGCCTCAAAGGCAGGGTCCCAGGAGGCTGTTCCCACAAAGCACTGAGTGACTTCCTCTGTGGCTGTTCTAGAACCTTCTTTGAACCAAATGGGCAAAGGAAGCTCAGAGCAGCAATGTGCCACTCATGACATATTGCCTGGGACATCTCCGAGAGTGGACACAGCTGGCCTGTGACTAGGATGGAGGTCTGAGAGGTGGGACTGAGGCTGTTGGTGACCTCAGACATAGTTGTATAGGATGGTTGACACACTCTTCCCCATGACAAGATGCCATCAGCTCCCTGAAGAATAAGAAGACATTCTTGCCCTAGAGGACCAGTCGTCAATCTCCCTGAGTGACATGTGCAGAGGTGGCTTCCCATTTCCTTAGGTTTCCTGGTATTGACTGCCTTCTCCACGCTTTCCTGCCATAGTCCCCCATTCTGTCATATCTGATTTCTCTGCCTTCCTCACAGTTCCCATAGCCCTCTGATCTCTTGACCTGAGCCCTCATGGTCATAGACAGAATACCCATGGCCTCACTAACAGCTGGACACAGACACGCTTGTACATTCCTTTTACGTTTTGACACACCAAGGCACAGAATCTTAAGCATTAGGTGGCCCCAGTAGTACAGTCAGTCAGGACCCTGGACAAGGCTATCGTGCTAGTCTAAAAGGGCTTCCTGGGGGTGGGGTGTCGGGCTTTGAACTTGTTATGTAGCCCAGGATGATCGTGAACACATACTCATCCTCCTCTCTGCCCCCTCCCATGTGCTGGGGTGACAAGTGTGCCACATTGTGCCCTATATTCCCTACTTCAGATAGAACCTAGTGTTCTGTGTGTGCCAGATAGGTAAGGGCTCTATTACATGAACCTTGTCTTTATACTCAGTGAGGTCGGAGAGGGGACCCTCCTGGTCATGAGTACTCACCTCCAGGCTTCATTCGCCATACTGTCTAGGGTCTGTGAATGAAAGTTCACTGATTTCTAAGTCACCTAGGAGGGGTGGAACCTGATGAGGCTGCCATATGTCAGTTGTTGGACCCCAGCATTTTTACACAACAGGCTCTGGTTGATTCCTCAGGATCCTGGCTGCCCCTTTGTGCTCAGACTCACTGCTGCCACCTGCTGGCGCCTTAATCCCAAGTCACCGGGCTCTGTTCTAGTTTAAAGTGCTGGACTTAGCTGGATCCCCATAGGGACCCTCTGTGGGATGATTTCTGCCCTTGGTGCTGTCATCAGTCTCCTGCAGGGACAACCATGTTTCTCCTATAGCAGTGACTGGGCTCTGCCCATGATGCTGTCACAGGGGAGGGGCACTTTCTGTGGAGGAGCAGCCTGGGCTGTGCTGTGCACACGTGGGTCTTGTATACATGTGACCATGGAGGGTGACAGGCTGCAGGGTTAGAACCTGCTGCTGCTCAGCTGTAGCAGGAGTGTGCCCTGTCCCCACAGAATACAGAAATAAATGTAATTAAGAAAATTAAATCCCAAGTTAGGCAAGGTGGTACATGCCTTTAATTCTACCATTTGGTAGGCAGAGGCAAATGGGTGTCTGTTAGTGTGAATGTACCCTGGTCTACATATTGAGTTCCAGGCCAGCTAGGGCTACACAGTGAGAACTTGTCTCTCCCACAAAAAAAAAAAAAAAAGATCTGCCCCCACATGTTTACGCAGTCCTCACCTGAGTACACAGGGTCTCTCCAGGCATGCTCTGGGTTTCTTCAGACTGCAGTTCCTGATCGTGTCCCAGAGGTCACACTCTGATTTTATACCCAACCTATTTCTCTCTGAATCATCCAATCCCAGAAACTCCACTCAAAATATCCACAGTGCAGTCCCTGTGGGTGCTGACCCTGCAGACACCATCATCCATGAGAACTGTCCATCTGTCCGCCCATCCTGTCTCACCACCCACCCTCCCACTCACTCCTTGATTTGTTTACCCCAGAGACAACATGCAGACCCACAGTAACCACCCAGACTGGGGTCTGGATAGAGTGGAGGAGAGGCTAGAGAGGGTGGTGTAGACAGGACACTCAAACTGTAGCCGTGGCTTTACAATAGCACACAGATGTCCTGTCCCCATATGGCACCTTCTTTGTCTCCTAGGATGACACTGTCATCTTCATCTCCCTCATGTGCTGCCCAATCTCAGCATGTGCACTCCCTGACACCTGCCCAGGGAGCCCCATGGAGAGACTCTATAGTATGTCCAGTAGGTGGGCCTGGGTGACCAGCTCAGTTTCCTATTCTTCTGGTGGAATCTTTCAGCCTCTGCAAATACCCAAGGCCAGATGGAGAAATTCACAAGTCATTGTATTTGAGGTCACAGAAATGGAGAGACTCTCAATTTCCTCTTCAACATTATATATATTATTTAAAAGAAAATATTAATAGTCACAAAATGTGTTTAAATGAATCTAATGAGAAAATGCCGGACATCTTCAAGTTCTCTGTTTCCAACCAAAGTAACACATGACCAGATCTATGGCCTCTCTGTAGTGTTTGGAGTTTTGGTGAGCTTTGCTGTTTGGTTTGAGATAGGGTTTCATGTATCCCAGGTTGGTTTCAAACTCAATAGCTACAATTAATAGCCTCCAGTTCATGGTCTTTCTATGTCTACTGTCTATCACTGGGATTGCAGGCATATGCCACCCTACCCAGCTTCCTGTAGTACTTCTATTAAGTGACTGGCTCAGGCCAGAGGACACAAATCACAAGCACTGGTAGCTAGACTAGAACCCAGGTCTGCTCTGCAATCAGACTATAATGTTCCTTCTCCTGAGGGGATTGACCTAAATGTTGAGATTGTTGGTTCTGTGTGAGCCTTTGCTGTGGGCCCCTTTGTTGTTCCTCTTTGAACAATGGAAACTGACATGACAAGTCACATGACCATTTGAGTTCCACCCATGAGGCCCCTTCTCTGTGCCCAGATGTCTGGAGGAAGAAGATGATGACTAAACCCTTCTGTATATGACTGGCCAGACCATCAGCATGGCATCCTGCTTGTGTGAACACTTCAGGGATGCTCAGAGACACCACCCCAGCTGCCCATATCACTGTGACCATGGCTCCTGCAGAGTTCAACCTCAGGAGGCTTGGATCCCGTGGCAACCACTGCAGACATCTCACAGCTGCCAGGAGACTTCACTTTAACCATGAGAATTCTTGGTGACTTCTCCATGACCCCTGGTATTTTCAGCTAGTCTCTTGGGGAAGGTACACAGTCCCTTCCCCACCCCAATGACTCAGAAATAACCCTGTGATTGATAAGACATTTGAGGCTTGTGTTTGGTGGAACTAAAGCAGCATCAATGCAGGATGGTGATTGGTGGATCTCATTCATGCATGCCTGTTGCTATTTCTGTCAAGAGGCACTATGACCAAGGTAACTCTTACAAAGGAAAAGATTTAATTGGGGCTGGCTTACAGATTCAGAGGTTTAGTCCATTATCATCATGGTGGGACATGGCAGCATGCAGTCCGTCATGGTGCCGGACGAGTTGAGAGTTCTACATCTTGATCTCCAGGCAAAAGGAAGTGAACTGTGTGTACCCTGAGAGAAGTCTGAGTAGAGGAGAATTCAAAGACCACCTCCACAATGACACACTTCCTTCAACAAGGTCATACCTACTCCAATAAAGCTAAGCCCCCTAATAGTGCCCCTCCCTATGAGCTTATGGGGGCCAGTTGAATTACATTCTAACTGCTACAATGCCCATTCATCTTTTCTGTCTGTGAAAGCAGCCTGGTTCCATTCTTTTTGGTCAGTCTGGATGCTGCCCTTATGTCCCAGCAGGCACTTGGTAGAAGCTGACCCACTGATGATGATCAAATGTGAAGACAGACCGTCCTTGGGAAGGAAGTCTTGTCCTAGAGAAGACCCCAGAGGTCAGAATATGAACATGGCAGGAAATAAGGAAAGCGACTGCATGTAGATGGCCTGTGAGGAGAGGAAGCTCAACATGAGGCCCAAGCAAGCCCCAGTCTGTCACCTGAGGAGGAGCACGGAGGGGTCAGGGGCCGTGGCTGGGATGTCAGTGTCCAAGGAGTATGGGAGAGAGGACCTAGGATCCTCATGCAGTGGTTCTCAGTGTGGACCATGGTCCCTGACTCTCTCCCTGTCCCTGCTCTCTCTGTCTCTCCCTGTGCAGGACACAGTCTGCTACTCTCTAAGAGGTCAAGATAGACACCGAGGTGGAGTGCTATGAGGAAGACCTTCATTAAAAAGTATTAACTCCATGGGCAGAGAAGAGCACACACAGTTGGTCTCTCAGGACCAGAGCCAGAGAACATGACCTGGGTTCCAAGGAGAGGGCATCAGAGCTCCCATGACGGGAGTGTGGTTTCTCTTCTTGTACCCATCCAAGGATAGGATATTTTACAGTACAGTCCTGGTGCCATGCTCTCTGGTCTTCAAACAGGAGGCAGGGGATGGGGTGGGATGCAGGATATGTGGCCAGCAAACCCATACTTTCAAGTGAATTCACTTCCCTGGTGCGAGATCCTGGTCTGGAGTGTTAGCAGGGGACTATCAGACAATGTCTCAGCAAGTGCCTGTAGGTGACCCTGAGATGGAGAGGACAATTTTCCAGTTGTTTCCTTGTATAATTTGAGTCCCCAGAAATCGAACCCAGGTTATTGGGCTAGGCAGCAGACACCTTTTCCCCACCAAGCTATCTCACTGGTCCACTTGAATTTTTTGTTCGTTAGTATGCAGTTTTTTAAAAGATGACATTTTAAAAAATTAGAAAATGTGATGATCACGATTTATCATGTTGGGGAGTTCACATCATTTTTTATGGTATAGCCTCTCACTGCTTTGGAACTCACCAATTAGGCTGGAGCAGCTGGACAGACAGCCATATGGTTCTGCTTGGCTCTTGCTTGAGATTACAAAGTCCTGCCACCTGCCTTGCTTATAACGTGGGTTCTGTGGATCAATCTCAGGTCCTCCTGCCCACGTGGCAGGGTTTCCTGACTGAGTCATCTCTCTACTCCCTTCCATGTCTCTCAGAACAAGCTTCCCCAGGCAGGCCCTCACCTGCTCCCTGGGATGACGGGCGCTCACCTGGCTGGGCTTTGGCTTTAGGGTGCTGGCCTGTAGGAGAAGAAACAGTGTCAGTGTGGCAGCCATGCTGACCCTCACTCTGCCTTCAGATTCAGGCTCAGGTTTCAAATCCAGAATTCTGCTTCCTCTCAAGTCTCCTGCTCCGTTCCTGCCCTGTAGTCTTCTTCTTACCATGGATTTCAATCTGCTCTGAACACAGTCCATACTCAATTCCTGTTTTGTGTCCCTTCAAGGTCTCATGGAGGACAATTGACCTTCTACTTTCTGTGTCACTGCATGTGGCCCTGAACTTCAGATCCTCCTGTTTCCACTTCCAAATGCTGGGATAGAGATGTCCCCAGCTGTGTCACAAAACTCATGTCTTAGAATCCTTAAGAACGTTAGAAGACAACCCATTTCTCTTTACAAAAACGCAATTGGAGTTGTTTAGGGATTACACTGAATTTCTATATTGTTTTTCATTATAATGACATAAATTTCTCCACTGCAGCAGGGTGGTGGCGACACATGCCTTTAATCCCAGCGCTAGGGAAGTAGAGGCAGGTGGATTTCTGTGAGTTTGAAGCTGGCCTGGTCTAGAAAGCTACACAGAAAACCCTGTCTCAAAAAACAAACAAACAAAATTTCCATTGTAAAGGTATATATTTTTCCATTGTGCATAGCCTTACTTTTTTTTTTTTTTTTTTTTTTTTTTTGGTGTTTCCATAGGGTTTTTTTTTTGTGATTTATTTTTGGGCAGTATGTATGCGTATATTTACATACGTGCACACACATGTGGACGGCAGAGGACAGCCTTGGGCATTGACCTGCAGCAGCTGTCTGCTTTAGTTTAGGATTCAGGCTTGTATTTAGCTTGGGACTCATTGATTGGGCAAGCCTGGCACCACATTGAGCCTCAGTGTATTACTGTCTCTGCCTGTCCAAGTATCTGCCAACTTTTTATGTGTGTCGTGAACCCATGTCCTCATGTTTGTGGGACAACCAGTTGACCAACTGAGTATCTTCCCAGCTCTTCAGTGAGTTTTCTCGGCAGTGTTTGGTTTTTGGTGTACAAATCTTTGACCAGTTTTAGTGTAGGCTCTTCCTAGACATACCGTGATTGTAATTTCCGTGTTTACACCATATCTTCAACTCAAACAGTTGTCTCTTTCCATAGGTTTCACTTCCTGAGAGATGTTGTCCCTGGATGCTGCTCTGCCCTGAATCCTGTTTAGCAGTCACAGTTCTTTCCCATGAGCGGTTAGCCCCTGAGGTACCCGGATTCCCCTTGATTTCCTTAGGAGCACGCTCTGTGTTCATCTGCACTGGACCCAGCTGGTCTCTAAGGAAAGTAATCGCCAGTTCAGTCTTTGTGTTGAGCTCAGCCACCTTCCTGCCCTTCTGTTCTCCTCACTTTCCCCTGCACAACCTCCTTCCCCATCCCCCACAGCTGAGAGAACTCAGAGGGGAAGCTCAGGTGAGGGCCTGTCCTGGACACTTACCTTTGCTCCCAGCACAGGAAGATCATCAACACACAGACGGGGGTTATGAGCACAGCCGTGGCCACCACCACCCCGACTGTGGCTGCCAGGTTCGCAAGTGAAGGATTGCTCTGACCCTCTGTGTCCTCCAGGCCAGCTGTGGTGGCTGCAGAGGTGACCTGGTTCTCTGTGTCCTCCAGGCCAGCTGTGGTGAGTGCAGGGGTGACCTGGTTCTCTGTGTCCTCCAGGCCAGCTGTGGTGGCTGCAGAGGTGACCTGGTTCTCTGTGTCCTCCAGGCCAGCTGTGGCGACTGCAGAGGTGACTAAGGAGGGCATCTGTTTGGTGGTGCTGGCATCTGTGGAAGAGAAGAGAGTGAGCAGATCCTCCCTGGATGAGGGAGGGATGGGGTGAGAGTCACACCTTGTCTCCTCTGAGGAGTGTGGGATGGGAATAGCTCTTAGAAGTTCACACAGAGAGGGGAACAAATGTTGAAGGCTGAGTTTCTAGGAGAGCCTTGTGGTGTATCCTCAGTCTCTACATGGTCACAGATAACTAAGTCATAGAGATACAGTTCTTTTGTCATAAATATATAAAACACACACAGATGCCTCAGTCCATAGAGTGTTTGATGCTCAGACCTTAGAGCTCAGGATTCATCCGTGGTATTCACAGGAAGAGCCTGTGGAACTGGGTGTGGCCTTTAATCTTAGTCCTAGACTCCAGAGGCAGAGGAATATCTGAGTTAATGCCATTCTGCCTATATATCTAGTTCCATACTAAACTGAGTTGACTGGGCTGTAATCCCAGTACCAAGGACGTGGGGACAGCATGTCCCTGGGGCTCACTGCTCATGCAACCTAAAACTTGGCAATCTCAAAGCCAGTTGAAGACCCCATCTCAAAAAATGAGGTGAATGAGGTTATTCTCAAGCCTTGACAGGCACATTGAACAAATGTGAACACACACACACACACACACACACACCTGAATAACAGACCCTCACTATCATACACAGAATACAAAAATGTATAACAGAAAACACATAATTCTGGCTGTAAGTGTACTGCTGAGTGCAGGGCAGGGTACATTCATTTCCTCTACAAATGTCACTAGGTTAATTTCCATAACATTTACATATTTGGTAACACTAGTCCAGCAGCTCCCAACCTGTGGTTTGTCACCCACAGTGGACATAAGATATCCTGCATATCAGATATGTATAGTATGATTCATAACAGTAGTTCAAATATAGTTATGTACTAGCAATGAAAATAATTTTATGGTGGGGTCTCCACCACATGAGGAATTGTTTTGAGGGTGACAGCATTAGGAAGGGTGAGAGTCACTGCTCTAGATCCTAGAGGCGGCTCCTTTCTCTCCCTGCCCTGAGCCCTGGCCGCTGCTGTTTGATGTGACATCAGGTGAACATGGCAGCCACAGAGACTGCACAGGAACGGGGCTGTGGGCGTCATCTCAGAGGTTAGCATTAGTCCAGTCAAGAGCCACAGCTGGTTGTGGTGGCGTGTGACTCTAATCTCAGCACTTTGGAGGTAGAAGCGGACAGATTTCTGTGAGTTCCAGGACAACCAGGGCTAAACGGTGAGATCCTGTCTTCTAAAAGCCAAACACCAATATATAAAGAAATAGCCACAGAGCAAGGCTGTGATGGACAAGGAAGCACACAGAGCCCCCGGCTCCTGTAGGGCCACACGAAGAACTGAGGAGTAAAAGCCACTCAGTGTTCCCAGAGCATGGGACTGCAGTTACTTGTGTCCCAGAGGAGAGGCAGGGATCAGAAGACAGAGCAGTCACAACATGTCAATGTGGACATGATTTCCCAAGACATTTGGAACTTGTGTGGGAGTGGGGAGGGCAAGAGGGCAAAAAGAAGAGAGAGGAGTTGGGAAATGAAGAGAAGACAGGAGTGGGTAGGGAGAGGTGAGGGGTGTGTGCTGTGGAGCTAGGAGGGGGAAATGGGGGGCTGTGGTGACAGGTGGCATTTCACACTTGGATTGTAAAACATCCAGTGGGTACCTACTGTTTGTTCTGGGCTTAGGTTTGAGGTGTGTGGAGATGCTCCACACAGGGACTCATTGGAGCCCTGCTCCAGGACCAAGTGATTCAGCTATATCCTTGAAACTTTAATCTCCCTGCAGGTCCTGGGGGAGGGGGAAGTGGCCAACACCACAGTGTTAGTTTGGGACAGAAAGGGCATGAATTAAGGGGAAGGTCACATGATGAAGCCTACTGTGGGCTTGGCATTCCCTCTGAGCAGAGGATGACAAGCAAGGTCAGAGATGGCAGCAGAGAATTCACAACTGCAAGGGAAAGATTCATTTGGCAAAGGCATGCAAAGAGCCAAGGGAAAAGAATATGAAAGAAAGCTCAGAGTTGTGGAGCCTGAGGTGACATCTAGGGGACAGGATGTCAGAGGCATCAAAGCCAGAGTGGGGTGGCTCACCATGTGTGATGGTGAGTTGTGTTCCATCAACTGACTGCACAATCTCTGTCTTTTTTCTCATGTTCAGATGAACTCTGCAGAAGTACACTGTCTGGTCCTTCTCCTTCAAGTCCAGGATTCTGAGGACTCCGGATGTCTGAGGCTGAGTCCAGTTCAGGATGAGCCGGTTCTTGAAATGCTCATGTATGAAACCTGAGGAGGGGTTGTAGATAATGTCCCCATGGAAGTGCTTCCATCTCCAGAGAATCCTCATCTGCCGAATCTTTGTCAACTCCCAGGGGAAGGAGAAGGAGAAGGGGATCTCGATGGAGCTGCCCTGGACACCGGAGAGGCGTGTTGGTTGGTTGACCCCCAAAACATTCAATCTGTTGAATCCTGCTAGGTTACCTGGGAAGGAAGGAAGGGGAGAAACTTAAATCTCTGCAGGGGATGGAAAGGACAGCCCAGAGCTTCCTGACTCTTCACCCACAGGCAGGTGTGTGACACAGGGCAGAACTGTCCCTATGGCTGGAACAGGAAAGACAAGGAAAGCCTGTGTTGGACCTAGTCTGAGGGCTGGTCTCACTTGGGGACAGAGATGAGTGTCTGTTCACTTGACAGTCCATTCTTCCTAGCCCCACTGGTGTCTCTTGTGGTTAAGGCAGAGTCCCTGCTGGCAAGGTCCCACCACTCACCACCGTGCAGGCATGGTGCTGGCAGCAGCAGAAGCAGGACACATGTCATGACCTGGTGTCCTCCAGGAAATGAGAGCAGCAGAGCCATCAGGCTGGAGAACAGGCCCTGTGGAGGGACCCTGGGGTGCTCAGGACCCAAGAGAGAATAATGCAAAGGAACACACAACCCCAGAACCTTTTCATGTTGAGGATTGATTCAGGGAAGGACCTCCTCATCTCCACCTCCTTGTGGTCAGAAACTTCCTTTGTTATCTGGCTTCTTCTTTCTCACGTTGCAGAAGATCCACCCTTGTGGTCGATGAGAACAAGGCCATGCCCTTGAGCCCAGCACCCATATTTGTGTGGAAGATGTGGCCTTGACCTCACCATGCCTGACCTCCTGACTACCCAGTCCTTCATATATACCATGTTGTCCCCCTCTCCCTCCCTCCCTCCCTCCCTCCCTATCTCTGCCTCCCTCTCATACCTCCTCCTCTCTTGCTGGTTCTCCTTGAGTCTGAGCCTCTCTCAACCCAAGGAAGAGGCTGCCTGGACCAGCACGTGCTCTTTCAGGGAGAGAAAAGCTGATACAGGTCTCTGAGCAGCTGAATCCCATGCTCAGCTAAGAGATGCTGATACTGGAGATGCTGATGCGAGAGGATGCTCCCTCAGTTCCCAACTCCAGAACGTGGTTTCTTATCCTGCTCTTTGACCCCTTCCTGTTCTTCAGTGGCTGCTGATTGTTCTCAGGCTGAACCAAGTCATGGCAGATCCTCTTTGCCCTGGTCTGCTCCATGCTCCCCATCGACATTGTCCCTAGGCTTCCCAGGTGACAGTCCCCCTCACCCGACATGGGGTCTGGAGTTTATCCTGTCTCTGTGAGAGCCTTGCTGCCCTCCAATCCGCAGAGGGAGCCCTGGCTCAGGTCATGCCAGCATCGGATGGCAGGGGACTCCAGTCTCACTAAGTCCTTTGTTCAGCACAGAGGTGTCAGCATGGACCCAAGGCATCACTCAGCCTTACCTCAAGGGCCAGCAACAGGTGATACCTCCTTGAAGTTTTAGAGATGACTCTGTTCTGCCATGGTCATTCCAGAACCCTCTTTGTTCTATAAGCAAAGAAGGCTCAGAGCAGCAATGTGCCACATTTTTGAGAGTGGAGGCAGAGGGACTGTGATTGGGTGGGGACATGAGAGGTGGGGACAGAGGCTGTGGTGGCCTGAACACTGGTTCGTCAGGAGTGTCACCCCACCCTTCTTTAATCGTCAGCTATGGCAGAAAGACATGATTGTACCAGAGAAAGTGGCATCATTCTCCCTGAATGACACACGCAGAGGTGACTTCACACTTTTGACACAGATTGCCTTCTCCATACTTCCCTGCAGGTGGCTATGCAGCCTGCATTCTGTCATATCTGCTTTGGATACCTTCCCTCACAGTCCCCATGATTCTCTTATCCCTTGTCCTGAGCCCTCATGGTCATGAACCTCATTCTCATGACATCAGTGACAGCTGCACAGGGATACACTTCTATATCCTTCCATCCTGCCCTTTGAAAGGCAGATGCAAAACCTTTAGGACAAGTTCACCCCAGATGGACAGTCAGTCAGGAGAGGGGACAGGCCTACTGAACCTCCCAGAAAGCCTCCCCTTTTTATTGGATGGAGTCTCAAGTAGCCCAGGCTGGGCCTTGAACTTGTTATGTAGCCAAGGATGACCTTTACTCCTACAGATTTTCATCTCTGCCCTCCCAAATGCTGGGGTGAAGGTGTGTTCCAGTGTGTCCCTTTGTCCCCTGCTGGAGATAGAACCCAGGGTCCTGTGCATGCCAGGCAGGTAAACACTTTACCAGATGAACCACAATTTTAGCCTCAGTGAGGTCAGAGAGGGGGCCTCCTGGTCATGAGTACTCACCTCCAGGCTTCATCTCAACGTGCCCTACCGTCTGGGGTTACGTGTAAAAGGTCACCCATGGTAGGGCTGTACCTGACTATGACTGCCTAATGTCAGGTGCTGGACACCAGTGTTTGCTTTGTTTGTTTATTTTTTTAAATTAATTTATTTTATGTCCTGACCAAAGCCTCTCCATCCTCTTCTCCTACCACTCCCTACCCCACTTCCTTGCCTCCCCTCAATCCACCCCTCCCTTGCTCAGTAGAGGCAGGCTGCCCATGAGTGTCTGCAAAGTATGGCACACCAAGCTGCCTTAACACCAAGAACCTCCCCCTGTAGTTGGGTTGTGCAAGACAACCCAACATGAGGAATAAGTTTGGAAGAGCCAGCCAAAGCACCAGGGACAACACCTGTTCCCATTGCCAGGAGTCCCCCAAACAGACCAAGCTACACAACTGTCACACATATGCAGGGTGCCTAGGTCAGTCCCATGCAGGCTCCCTGGTTGTTGGTTCAGGCTCTTCTGTGGGGTTTCCTTGGATGTCTTTGACCCGGACCCCACCCCAGCCCCTGCTGTCAGAACCTTTCCCCTTCCTCAGCAGGACCCCCCACCCCCAAACTCAGCCCAGTGTTTGGCCTTGGGTCTCTGAATTGGCATCCTTCAGTCACTAGATGAAGGTTCTACACTGCCAACAAGGCTAGTCACCAATCTGATCACAAGGGATGGGAACACTGGCATTTTTACACAAAAGGTTATTCAGGTGTTCAGCCTCGCTGCTGCCATCTGCTGGCGCCTTAATCCCAAGTCATGGACTCAGCTGGAATTCCATAGGGACCCTCTGTGGGATGATTTCTGCCCTTGATGCTGTCATCAGTCTCCTGCAGTGACAACCATGTTTCCCCAGAAGCAGTGAGTGGGCCCTGCAGCCATGATGCTGTCACAGGGGAGGGGCACTTTCTGTGGAGGAACAGCTGTGCACACGTGGGGCTTTGTATCCATGTGACCATGGAAGGTGAAAGAACCTGCTGCTGCTCAGCCTATAGCAGGAGTGTGCCCTGTCCCCACAGAATAAATAAGTAAATATAATGAAGAAAATTAAATCCCAAGTTAGGCAGGGAGGTACATGCCTTTAATTCTACCATTTGGTAGACAGAAGCAAGCTGGCATCTGTTAGTTTGAATGTAGCCTGGTCTATATAATGAGTTCCAGGCCAACTGGGTTACACGGTGAGAACTTGTCCCCCCAAAACAAAGAAAAACAACAAAGGAACAAACAAACAAATGAAATGAATCACAAAGAAACCAAGCAAAACATCCAAGGCACATGGTGTCCTGAGTGGTAGTGATGTCTGAGCTGTCCTTGGCCTCCACATCCATGAGCACACACTTGCACACACATGACCTGCACACACACACACACACACACACACACACACACACACACACACACAGTCATGCAAGGCACCTTTCACAGCTGCTCTGCCCCCACATGTTTACGCAGTCCTCACCTGAGTACACAGGGTCTCTCCAGGCATGCTCTGGGTTTCTTCAGACTGCAGTTCCTGACCGTGTCCCAGAGGTCACACTCTGATTTTATACCCAACCTATTTCTCTCTGAATCATCCAATCCCAGAAACTCCACTCAAAATATCCACAGTGCAGTCCCTGTGGGTTGACTCTGCAGACACCATCATCCATGAGAACTGTCCATCTGTCCGCCCATCCTGTCTCACCACCCACCCTCCCACTCACTCCTTGATTTGTTTACATGACAACATGCAGACCCACAGTAACCACTCAGACTGGGGTCTGGATAGAGTGGAGGAGAGGCTAGAGAGGGTGGTGTAGACAGGACACTCAAACTGTAGCCGTGGCTTTACAATAGCACACAGATGTCCTGTCCCCATATGGCACCTTCTTTGTCTCCTAGGATGACATTGTCATCTTCATCTCCCTCATGTGCTGCCCAATCTCAGCATGAGCACTCCCTGACACCTGCCCAGGGGATCCCTAAGAAGAGACTCTGCACTGTGTCCTAATGGCCCAGTGGCTGGGATGGGTGACCAATCTGTCACCTGCTCCTCTGGTGTAAAGTCTCCCAGACTCTGCAGATAGCCTAGGCCAGATGGAGAAATTCACAAGTCATTGTGTTTGAGGTCACAGAAATGGAAAGGCTGCCAATTTCCTCTTCAACATTATATATATATTATGTGAAAGAAAATATTGTCACAAAATTTGTTTAAGTGAATCTAAAAGATTTGTTTAGTGAACAAAGAGGAAACTCATTATATCTAAGTTCCCTGTCTCCATCAAAAATGAAGTAACAGAGATGACCAGCTTCTTTGACCTTCTGTAGTATTTGCAGTTTTGGTGAGCTTTACTGTTTGTTTGGTTTTGAGAGAGGGTTTTCTGTAGCCTCGGTTGCCTCAAACTCAATAGGTACAAATGATAGCCTCCAATTCCTGGTCTTCCTAGCTCTACTGTCAATCATGGGAATACAAGCACATGCTACCATGCCTGGCTTCCTCTAGTACATTTTGTTATATGACCATTTGAATAACAGCTTTGAGGTCCTTTCCATGTGCCTGGCTGCCTGGAGCCTGGAGTGTATTAACAGTCATTTATTTAGATGACTGGCCAGACAATCATCATGGCAGCCTCAGGGATGCTCAGAGACACCACACCAACTGCCAAAATCACTGTGACCACAGCTGCTGCGGAGTTCAGCCTCAGGAGGCTTGGATCCAGTGACACCACTGCAGACATCTCTCTGCTGCCCAGGAGACTTCACTTTAGCCAGGAGAGGCCTTGGTGATTTCCCCCATGACCCCTCCATCTTCAGCTAGTCTTGTGGGGTTAGCATAGTTTTCCCAATGACTCAGCTCAGGCCCTTTATCACTACACATTCAAGGATTGTCATTAGTGGAGTAAGAGCTGCACCTGTACAGGGCTGTGATTGGTGGATCTCAATCAAGCAAGTCCATGCACCTTCTCTGGCTGTGAAAGCAGCCTGGATTTCATTCTTATTGGTCAGTCTGGATGCTGTCCTTATATCCCAGAGGCTCTTTGGTAGAAGCTGACCCACTGACAATCAAATGTGAAGACAGACCGGCTTTGGGAAGGAAGTCTTGTCCTAGAGAAGACCCCAGAGGTCAGAATATCAACATGGCTGGAAATAAGGAAAGCAACTGCATGTAGATGGCCTGTGAGGAAAGGAAGCTCAACATGGGACCCAAGCAAGCCATGTCTGTCACCTGTGGA